TCTCGTTACTGTTCTTTTACAGACCTTTACTTATCGTTCTGAAATTTTCAAAACGGTTAACAACTTAAAAGCATTCCTTTCCATTACTGTTTAATTCGTATGATATTATTTTAGATTTTATTTTTGTCTTTGTATAATTATTTTTGTTCTTAATCGAATTCTAAGTAAAAGGTTATGCATTTTTATTGTAATTATTTGCAATCAAAAAAGAATTTGACCGGAAACCAATATATAATTAGGCTGCAAAAAATAATCCCTTAAAGGCCTACATCTAAGGTTTTTAAATTATTAATCTACATAAAAACTTAAAACACAATTGACTGATTTTGAATGTCATGGAATACCATCTAAAATTAATACAAATCATCAATCTGGTTTTAATTTTAGTTTAGCCTGTATTTTTATTTAGCAGAATTAGTAAAAGTTTAGTTATTGGTCTACCTTTGTTTCTTTTGAACGTTTTACTAGTAATATGAAACTGAATTTTCTTCTTAATCTGTTTTAGTTCTTTGTTAATTTTGATCCCTTATGTATTTCAATGATCTATTTGCTAGAAAATTCAAATAATAAATCCTTATATTTACGATTACCAAGAATAATAATTTCAAGCCAAAGTTTTAAACTCTTATTACTAAAATGTTGATTCTTTTAAGCATAGGTATTTTTCTCTGATACTTTTTTACATTTAACGTTAGATTTTTACTCATGTGTAACAAATAACAATTACAGTACATGCTGTGCTAAAACAAAGCAAATTAATGCTCGAGAGAACACCAAATTGAAGATTTCAGCTCAAATAAACCAGCAATGTTATGGAATGTGGAAAACCCAATGGAATATTTTCGATTCTAATTATATAAAAAGTGATATCGTACAAATTAAAGCATATTGTTCCAGCAAAAATTCCACAGAAACTAATTTGATACAAGATTTTTGTGATATTTGTTTGAAATTAAAACCCATGATTGAATTTTAAACCCCAACAAATGTGTTTGTGTGTTTATTTGTAAAATATTTTGATACCAATTTTGAATTTTAAAAGCACATTTAATAACACAATTTTCTTAATTTAAGCGTATCAGTTTAAGATATAATTATGCAACCAAAAAGGCAATGTATTTCGCTTGGTTATTATTTAGTAGTATTATGATTCAATTACATATTCCAATACTCATATTTTGAACACAATAATAAATCTTACGATGGATTAATCTTTTTTACTTTTAAGACTGGTTACATATTTAAAAATTAAATTTAATACATACTTTTAAAAAGTTGGGTCTGTTTATTAGCTAATAAAAACATGTGACATTTCTTATTGATTTACACTATTTACAGTATTAATTTAACTACGCATGTAAAATCATCTAAATTTAAAGTGATATTTACTATATAGATGGACCAGTGAAAAGTGGGCTTACTTCAATTATAATATTCATAAAACATTAACATCATCCGATTTTTACCCACGTGGTTTGCCGTTAAATTTATATTACATCATCTAGTCTCATTCCAATATAAATTTTGTAGTGCATCTGCGCCGAGCGCTAATGCTAATAAAGTTACAATAATTCAAAAGCTCTTGCTGGAGTTAAAATTGCATCACCTTTCAGTGTGCAAAGTGCTGTTTCCATTTTCTGCACGTACGCAGCATTGCCAGTTTTACGACATACTATTATGTGGAATACATCGAAAACAACTTTGTTTACTTTTGCTTCACGGGTCAAATGTATTTTGTACGTAATAGTAGATAAATGTTATATCCGCTAACGTACGAGTTTCCATTTAAATATTTAGCACTTGGTCGGATTCTTATTGAAAAATAAATATTATATACTTTATTTAGTGAAAAACAACAATAACGGGTAACAAATTTGTATAACCAATGTTTGTAAAACTACTTAGTTAGAAGGCACCGGTATCTTTTTGATGAATACATTTCCGTGATAACACAAAAGAAACGAATAATATTAAATATCTAAAATCTGTGTTGTCTAACAGACTATTGTGAACATTTTTATCGTGATAAGCAAAAATAAAAGTTTCGTAGTTAGTTTTTTGGTAGAATTTTTTTTCTTCGTAATGGAATTTTACGCAATATATTTTTTTTTAATAATGTTAAATCACCACAACCAAAAATAAATTCAAACATAGAATACGCCTAGATTTTCAAAATAGATTTTCTAGTGAAATAGGGGCGAATAAAGGCTTAAGAATATTACTTCGTATTATTACTGTTGTTATTCTATAACGAAATTGTCATGCAAATATCAGATTTGTAATTGGACATCAGTATGTTATTTCTAATATGCAAATTTATTTGACACGTATATTAATAAAATTGAACACACATTTTACAATGTGTAATACAAGTGACATGATAAAATCTGACGAAAATATTCCATCGTATTACTACAATACAGTTAGACTAATGCGGATAATGATACGTAATAAGCCTAATGCCAGTATGCAGGGATGGAAGGCCATTTTAAGAGGTGTAGCGTGTTAATTTAAATATGGGGTTCATTATTCCTATTTGCATATAATTATGACACAAAACTACAAACTTATGGTCGAATACTCTTTAGTAGGCTAACAGCATCCAATTACAATAGAAGCCTAAAGTGACTCTCAACGACAAGCGTCGCCATCAAAATATTAGGGACGAAATGAAGATTTTTGACCCATTAGATGAACAACGTTTTTCGTACTATTTAACCTTTATTTGAACTAACTAACATCACGAAAATACTGTGCATTGTTAACCTTTATCATAAAAGTGACTTGGTTCTGGTTTGAAGTTCAATGAACGGAGGTTGTAGCAAAAGGTATTACTCTACAAACAAAAAATAGTTTTCGAATAAATACAATACTTTTAAGTTACAATTATTCTAATTAAAAATTCATTTATTTCATTAAATGTCCAATTTTACATTACTAAAAGCCTGAATGAAGTGTAAATTAATGCTGCAATTCACTGTAATGAATCTGAAGAGATAAAAAAAGGAGCTGGTCTACTGGTTAGAACGCGGGACTTCGGTTCCTGAGGTCCCGGGTTCAAATCCCACCAAATCCCCAATGGATTTTATCTAATTGATATTGCCGCAACCTCTAGGTCTAGCCTGAAGTAATGTGAAGAACAATTTTGGGCTCGTGCCTATCGTCATAGGAAAAAATATAAAAATGCACAGGCAATGATGTAGTCGACTCCAGCTAAATATTACCATATGGGTCGAAAAATAATTCAGAGCTGCTAAAAAAAGTGTATAATATTGACAACGGAACAAAATAGAATAACTTAACACATTATACATTTAGTAAAATTACATTCTCTGTTGGAACTATGATTGTTAAGTCTTAGCAATAATCTTAATGCAACACATGGAACAAGAGCAAGTTGTCATTTAATACATAATATAGAGAGCCATAGTCGTAAGTGTAAGTGTAAAAGCGTTCAGTAAACTTGAATGGCCTCTTTCGTTTAAGTGACTGTAGGTAGTTACTGGAACTATGTATGTTTCACACTTACCTTTAGTAAGGTTCGTAAATAGTACATTTAATAGCTCAGATTGATGGTTTCATCAATGTTTAAAACACAATTTAAATTCTTAATATATTTTGCCATGCCGTTACACCCCCTCTCCCTTTTTAGCAGCATTTTTTTCGTCTTTTTTGTCTTTTTAGGTGTTAACAATTTAAATAAGATGATATAATTAGACATATGGCCTAATATGTAGTTAAATGTGAATAAAGCAATAATTTTACACGTAATTGGAAATTTAGCTTAGCCCATCCATGCAGCTTATAGAGTTCCTATCGTATTGACAGTGACCATTGCAACACCAACAAAACACTATGCCATATACACAAAATATTTGCGAGGATTAATTCGCTTTACAAAACCGTATATTTAGTTTTTCCATATGGATTCGAGAACAATAAATTAGTGATTTCCAAATTCTGTATTAACTGTTATTTACTTCTTAAATTTATGGTTATTTTTTAATTAGTTTGTGTTTATATTTGCTTATTGATTTCAACAGAATATGTTATTCAAATAAAACTAATCCATTCATATGCGTGTTCACACTCTTATTACTTGTCTTACAGGGTGTCTTGCAAACACATGAACACACTTTGTCCCATTATAGAGCATTTCAAAAGAAACAAAAACCGTAACATAACATGTATCCCATGTCATTCAGTTTTCCGTCTATCTGGCTGTATGTGATTTTTACAAATCATAATTCATAAATGACGGATTTTAAAAATATTTTGTAAAATTAACGGGTTTCATTGAATTTGAATCAAATATGTTAAAAGCTGCCATTTTTAAACGGTTGAGAGTTTTTTATTTATATTTTGGACAAACATAGTGGTCTATATGATAAACATGTTTACAGAATTTCAACAACGTATCTCAAACAAGCAATGAGTTATGAATATTTTTGTAAAAATCTTATACAGACAAATAGACCAAAAACGGGATGAGATAGGACACATGTTAAGTCGCATTTTTTTAAATTTGACATGCTCTATAACGGGACGAAGTTTTTTCATAAGGTTGCAAGACACCCTGTATTTAAACGATACATGTTACCATTACAATTAGTAATAATCAACTGTTCACGATGTTTCAATATCTAAACCTTAACCGTCCTTAAGTACTGTACTGGACCGACCTACCCCTTGCTTTGCTGTATTCGATGCTTTTGCCACGCACGGGCAGTTAGTCTATGTTGACGGGCAAACACAGGGTTAAAAGAGGCCGCCAACCTCTTAAAAAAAAGGTGAGGAATTACCCAAAACATAACAAGATTATCACACAAATCAAGCCAAAGCTTAAAAATCGCAAAACAATTACTCCAGATCCAAAACTAGTGTTCTACTAATCGTTACGGAAAATGCCGCTACTATAAATAAAATAACTAAGACTTACTATCGCTAAAACATAATTTCAAACGAATGGTCTTCCTGAAATTCCTTCTTTTATGTTCCAGGGCGGCTGAGGTTTTCCCGGATGGAGCATGAGCCCCGGGTCTACGCCGCCGCGCCCTCAGGGCTCCTCGTGGCCAGGGTTCGAGCCTTCGACGTCGACGACCCAAACGTGATGCCCTTCTACCGTCTACTGGGGGACTCCGTGCCGGCCAGCGACGCCCAGTACTTCCAGATACATGCAGAGTCTGGCAACCTTACGACTAAACGGTAAGCCGACTAAACTTGTAATACAATAATTTCAAACGGTATGTATCAAATATCAAACCTCTCCTAAAGGCTGAAACTGTGAATTTAAGTGCCTCGGTGCTTTACCCGAGGTGAACGTACATACAGCATTACAATACAACAATAATCTTTATCTTTCTTATGACTTTATTATTCTTGCCTCTCATACCCTCCTTTTAATGGTTTTATTTTGAGCACTTACAAAGCAAATTATGTGAATTTACTACTGAAATTTAACACAGGTATCCTGCTGTCTTGTGCTGAGCCTCAAGTATACATATATTTGAGGACTAAACTCGTGGAGCATAGAATGCAAAGTATTGTGGATGTTTGACTAGACATTCATTTAAACATTGATATTGTTGTACGGAATAAAAATTGGGCATGTTCCTTTTTTAATCAGCTTTTAAGATTTCAAATGCATTTATTTCAAACACTCGTAATATCAGTGATGTACAAAATTGAAGTTTCACCAGCTTATTTAACCAATAATCAAAGTTGAAACATCATTCTTGGTTTAAACAAAACACGTTATTCATCATTTTAAAAAGTAATTAATTAAGGCATTACTCATAAAAAATGTAACGTAGCCTCTTTTCGTCCCAGGTAACTATGCCATGACGTAAGCATAAATAACGTACTAACATCAAACAAATTACTTACCATTCAAAACCACAAACACAACTGCTCTACATAGTTAAATACTAAGAAATAGCAAATTTAAAACGTTAACTTTGGAGCATCCAATAGGAAGAGGTAACGCGTACACCTAAACATCCTTAATGCTAAACATAATGCTCAATAATATGCGCAATAGTTTCATCCAAACTGTATTTGGGACCTTTTCCGTTAATTCACTACCACTAGTTTTTAGAGCAATAGATTATTAGCAATAGAAGTGGTAGTGAACTAAACTTTGGTTAGGTTAGGTTATGTTAGTATAAAGTTAGAAAACCCTAACCTAACCTAACCTAACCATACTCCACTAGTGATAGTAAATTAACGGAAAAGGTCCTGTATTATCTTTGTTTTTTAGATATATCGACCGACCAACAGGGTCTGTGTACAACGTGATGGTAGCTGCCTACAACAACGGAGACACCGAGTATACAGAGCTAGCCATCAAAGTCACAGAGTACAACAAGTATCCACCCAACTTCCGTTCCCAGAACTACAAGTAAGTACCTTACCTTTTACTTTGGTCCTCTTTACCGCAGTCGTAGAGAATCAGCGTCTTCTTTTACCTTGTTGTGTCATTGTAGTCTTTGGTGTATACAGGGTGGCTGGTCATCAGTGTGACAAAATTTTTTTGGCGTAAGTACAAAGTAAATGCAGTGTAATGATGCATATAAAAGTTTCCAAGTCCAAAAATTAGCTCCCCAAAGAATTATTTTATGTTTTTTCAAAAATTACTATGTTTACAAACTTAATACTGCTATTTCTCAATTACCTGTAAATGGATTTGAGTAGATAATGTCATTTTCGTGTTCTACATTAAATGTTGTATAAGAATAATAGAAAATGACGGAGGATCAGTTGTAAAAACTCCATTGTAAATAGATTCAAAGATACAAATTAAGATTTTTGAGAAAATATTAAAAAACATTGTTCTATTGTATTTGTTCAAACCCTGTATACAAGAAAGTGTCCGAATATGTTAAAAACAGCGCCATTTTATAAGCTTTCCAACCATATGCTACAATATTGAGGTTTAGATATTCTGTTGTTTGTTTCAGTGGTATGAATACCAGAAAACAGGGAACTTTTTTACTGTTTTTACTGTTCAAGCTGAAACAAAAATACAACTTTTGCTTAATACATGACGGCTTTCTATGTTTTAAATGTTAAAGACATGTTTTATTTGTAATCATATGTTTAGTTTTATTGTTTTAAAATTTTTTTTGTTTTATTAATAGTTTGTTGGTTTGACCTGACGTTTTGTATGTTTTATTCAAAATATATATTTTATTTATGTATACAATTTATTTCTGAAAGTGTTCGAATATAAAGTACACATTGCAAAATATGGATAGAAAAACAGAACATTTTTATTGGAAATTAGGTCTACCCTTTTTTACCGAGTCAAAACTTGTTGTATGTAATACTGTAATGTTCAATGCCAGACGTTTCCTTACAGTAAGAGGTAAAAATAATCGATTTTTATTAGACACTTCGACCATCGAGCACCAAACGGAGAGGGAGAAAGAAAATCCCCCAATCATCCAAACGATAGCCTTATCGTAGTCCTATCGGGTTATACGATGATTGAAGTTTCCACTCAAGACCGATAATTTTGGTACATTTATTAAAAAGCTTAAATATTAACTATGTGGAAACAATTGGACAAATTGTATTTTAAAATATATTGAAAATGTATAACAAGCCATGTATCGGCACTCCATTATCATGATGGACCAATTAGATAGAAATTCGTTAATAGTTCAGTTAAATGTCAAATCAAACATGAGAATTAAATTTGTTTTAAGGAGAGTTTGAAACACAAATTCAACTAGCGTTAATCAAATAACAGCTGTCAAATTAAACTTACAACCAACTAATGTAACTATGCCTACATACCTAGTTATTCAATTACCTAGCTAATGAATACCTAAGTAAGAAGTCAATTAAAACTTATGTTTATGTTTCAAAGACCTATTTGGCGAGCTGGAAACACAATTATGATTAACAAATAAACTTTCCTGGCGTAGAGCATATTTGAGTGGGCAATATAAACACGTTTTAATTTCCGCGCTTGTAAGAATCGTTCACCTCAGCAATACATTAATTTTTTACCTTTTTCCGAACGTTATTTGAAGTCTAAATAGTTTTTTCGTTATATTGCAGTGAAAACTAGATTCAGGACTAATGTTCCTTTATTCCTTGTGCATAAAACCCAATGGAGACAATTACATAAAAAAAATAGTTTCGATTAATATAAATAGAATTGTATAACTATTTAGTTTTCTGTATCATTTATCATCGTGTCAGAGTGGATTTGTATTCAAATAAATGTCCTTTCATCAAAATTTGTTTATGTCCCACTTTTATATCCTAGGTTCTAGGTTGTAGCCCGGAAAATTTTTACACATTACTTTAGATTAGCCCAAGAGGGTTGCGGCCTTTACATAGATAAAATACATTGGTGGTTGGCGGGATTTGAACCCGGAACCTCGTGGACCGAGACCCGAGCTCCACCACTAGACCAGAACGCTCCTAATTTCATAGACATTAGAACTAATCGAAATTGTAACAACACTAGTAATTTTGATTTGTTATCGGGGTGGCAGAGAACTTGACAAATTCAAATAACGTTAGCAGCTGTTTGCTTTTAAAAAAAAATCTATGAAAACCATTTCGGGAGCTAATGTTTATGTCTATCTTGGAATTGTGCATTATGATGAAAAAGTGTAGTTCTTTAAACAAACAAAAATCAATTTTCGAGCCTGGGTAACATCCCTAACGTCACCTAATGTTAACAGTATTAGTGATAAAGTTTACTACCAACCAACAAATTCCCCCTCCAAAAAAACCGTAAATGCAAAAAGTGTTTTTGTTTAATTTTGTCAAGCATCCACTTAACTTTCCTCTCGGCGTTAATCAATAGGTTTCAACTCCGGATTAGTGGTAACTGTGTTATTATATTGTGGTCGTTGCTCTATAACCGAATCAACAGATTTTAGATCTTAATTTTGTTTCTATGTTAATTAAGTTGGTAGTCCCAGGTTGGATCTCTTTATTTCTTTTAATTTTGTAACTTTTGTTTATTAGTTTTTTGAAAAATATAGCCAGTACCTTGGACGGAACAGTTTTTCATGCTTTTTACATTCTCTAGTTCTCAACTATATCTCGAAATTTAAAAACAATTTCGAACCTGCAAAATCCAACTTTGACTCTCAGTGCAAAATAAATATTTCGTGTTTTCTTCTGGGAATATAGAAAGTAGACGGACTGTAGAGAGATGAAAGAATAATGATGTATTCATTCGTATAGTGTTAAATGTCTTCGTTAAATTTAAATGTTTAGTCATTGTAAGTTTATCTTATATGAGGGGTTTTTGTAGACCTTGCAATCACAAGAAGCTAGTAAAAATTAGTGTTTGTAACATATTGGTTTTTGGAATGAAATACCCCATCTTATGCAACCAAAGCAGAAACGTTTAAAAATCACATATTAACTGTAAAGTGTTCAAAACAAGAAACAAAAATTATTTCATGATGAATAACATTTAGTCCAAATAGTGAAAACATCTATTGAGATTGACTCTTTAAAAATATATTTCAAATATTCATCTAAGTCCCTAAACAACGTTATTGTGTATATATATATAATTTTTTTTAAGGGAGAGGAGGTAAAAATGCTTTTACGCACACATATAGCCAGCGTGTAGTGTGAGACTCCCTAGCTTGTCAGACTACTCACTAAAAAACCCCCTCTACTCTGTTGGACACAGACCTGGGATTGTTTGTCACATTACTTCAGGTCAGGTCAACGTGTGACCTAAGCCCTCAGGGCTCGCACCGTTTCTGGCATTCAATTTCTTTATGACCTAGACTGCATCTCGGTCAAGCTCTAGCTTCTTTGTGCGGAGAATACCCTCGACGAAATGTGACATACAGGTCAAATTGTCCTCACCCTCCGTCATCATCGGAATGACCGTGTCCATCGACAACTGCCCATCCACAATTTTTGTTCAGCCTCCACTCTCCAGGCGGGAACCTTCCCAACGCTGGCAGCGGAAGAAGGTGTGCTCCGCGTCGTCAGGAGTGTCTGGACAGTAGATGCAATCGGGTGACACGGCTTTGCCCATCCTGAACAGGTACGACCGAAAAAACCAAGCCCTTTTAGAAACTGGGTAAGGTAATAGTACACCTCACCATACCGTCGGTCAACCCATGGTTGGACTTTCTGAATCAGTCTCCTGGTCCAGCGTCCCAGCGACTCCTGTTCCCAGCTCTCCTGCCAGAGCTGGTAGGTGCGGTTGTGCTCCTCCGTTTTTGCATGGTCCTCTCAACGCCGCTGATAAATCGCTTTCCTCTCCGCCGCCAAAAGTTTGATTGGGATTACTCCAGCAACCACCAAGATGGCAGGTTCAGACACTGTTCGGTGGGCGGATGCTACCCTGAGTGCTGCCTGACGCTGCACTCTGGCAAGCCGCATCCTTACGTTATTGTATAATACCAGTAACATTATTAAGAAATACAGCTTATGTAAATAGAATATCCAATTGAGCCTTGACAACAATGACTTAACAATATTTTACTGTTAAAGCTCTCTATGAGATATCTTTGCTAAAAGTAAAATACAAGTGGTTTTTATTAACATATCTTTGACTTTGTTTTATAATCCGACTATAAATTGTTCATATCTATGTAATATATATTCATTTTAAAGCTTATGTTCAATTTCATTGCTGATATTAAATTAATAAAATTATCAAACTATTTTAATTTGGCATAAATCTACAAAAAATACAAGTTTTAAACACACTTTGCAAAAATTAATGACATTCTGGTATTAGTGGAATATTTTAACAATTTACCCTGCAGATAGGTATTAAGGTTGGATGGCTTGGAGCAACTGATTTTTTAACCATGGGTAACGAACCGTTGTACTAAATGAACTTAAGTTTGTTATCCCTCGAATCCTGAACGTAATTCTGTAATATAATTTTTATCGTCCATTATTTTTATTACTGTAACGCACTCCTACGGGCGTATTTTAACCTGATTATAAATAAAGGGTAAGTGTAGAACGGGGAAACGCGGTATAATCATCTATATACCTTTATTACTGATCAAAATAAGCCGTTTATTTACGATTATTTATTAAAAGAATACCGCATATATACAGCTGGGTCCTTATCTAACACTATAAAACAACTCACTATTCTATCCATCGGCTTTTGATAGTTAGGCTAGCGCTATATCACTATTATACCCAGTAACAGTTTTGTACCATTGTCCTGATATGCTATAACTTATTGAGAGAATGCAAGTTTTACTGGTTCTGAATTATACCTCAGATCTAATGAGTTTAATCCCCAATCTCAGTGTTAGCTACAAAAACAGCTTCCTGTTTTGGGCTATCTGCATTCAGAACGATCGCCTTACTCATCGTAATAAAACTGACGAGGCGTGTGCCTTCGATGTTTGGATGATTGTGACGATCCTATCCTGGATTATCCGTCACAATCCAGAAGGCACTCAACAAGTCCCTGTTGTAACGTGGACATCACAATCGACCTGGCCTCTTGATTAATTATTAATCTGCTGACAATAGTATTACTTTCATAGGGGCTTTGTTCAAAGGGCTTGATACATTGTGAGAATTCTTGGAAGCTTAGCTAACATCGTGGAAGGAAGCCTCAGCACCAATTGCTTTGTTTTATCTATCGACGTTTTCCGTGTGGTGAGTTATTTAAGAATTTTGCTCTTCGTGTGAAGTAGCATCTTCAGTGCAAGATTAGTGAAAGTACAACTTTGTCACCACCATTTAACTTGCAAACAGCTCATTCAACTAAAAAATGACTTTCATCACGTAAGCATTAAAACTTTCAATTTACAATTGGGCTGTTCCCAGATTCAGTTTTTGCTCCAAATAACCAATGGCCCATTTATATTGAGACATATTAATATTGTGGAGCCTAAGTGGTCATGGATTTAACCTTGAAGTCAACTAGGTTATTGGAGACATGGTTATCCTTAAACAATTGAATTCTACGAGCAGGATTCTCTGCAAGTTATAAATACTTCTACAGCTGATCTCAATGTTTTTCCGCTTACCTCAAGCTACAAAGTTTACTTTTTTGTTTACCGTTAATGTTTTTTGATAAAGAAAACTTGCAAACATTGTCCTTAAAAAAAAAAAAAACACTGTGAATTATATTGTTGATCACTACAAGACAAGCCACACGACGTAACAAAGTTTTGAATCCAACCCCTTCATCAGGTAGACAAGAATCTGGATGACAAAAAATTACGAATAATTTCACTAATAATTATGAAAATATTCACAGTTTTCAACTTAAAACACTTTTTTGTTTTTCTATGCCACCTTTGTTGGGTTTCAGGGTGGACGTAGAACTTATAGCTCCTGTCGGAACAGAGATAATCAAAGTGCAAGCTCTCGACAACGACCCACAGCACTACAACTCGGAAGTTTACTACTACTCTCAGTCTAGGGTTGTGGGAATCAATCGAACAACAGGGGTCATCTCACTGAGGGAGAACCTGCACCCTAGGGATCGCACCCTGAACGTCAATCTCCTGGCGTTCGACGGCGGATCTCCCAGGAGGTCTGCGAGGTCCAAGCTTACCATCAATGTCAAAATCATCTCAGGTAATTACCTATTGGAAGTTATACTTGTAGCCGTTAAATGCTTTGCAGATGTTGTAGATAAACATTTGATGTTTTCCCCTTTGATCAGCTGTAAAATGGTACGAGAAATATGCTTTTACCAACACAAATGAAATATAATTAGATTGAAGTACTAGAAAAAGGTGATAAAACTAGAACATCCTTATGATTTTTTTTTTTTTTTTTTTTGCCTGGTTACTGAAATTTCAGTGAAGGTTTGGATAAATGATATTTGTCTCGGTGAGAAAACAAATCCATTAATAAATTTGAAGTACGAATTAGTGGAATAAACTAGTTTTGTTGTAGGAACAAAATACACAGTTTGAATAAAACAGGTAAAGAGTATAATGCATATGTGAGACCGATTTTTTAAATATTTTTGACAAGTTAACATTCCGCACGGAAAAAAATCACTGATATATTTGTTTACAATATTTATTTAGAATTAGATTTTTTAGTATTTCAAAAACTTTAAGAATTTTTAGTAAAACCTTTAGGTTTACTCGACTTTTCTTCCAATCCACCTCTGTAATAAATTGTTTATTTTGCAATACAATAATATTGCTTCGTATTGATTTGCTAGTTTGGGTAATTTTTATCAATAATTATTGTATAAGTGACTTACAATGAGCCTCTGCTGGACTAATTTGGCTTAGTCAGATTGTTAAAACCCATTTATAATCATAATAAATAAGATAATCATTTTAATAACAGCGATAGAAATATCTAATGAATTTTCTCTCCAAACTATAATACATCTTTGTGTCATCATACATTAAATTCAAAAATTTCATTCTCACTGACTTGAAACTAAAACATCTTTCATTCCTTTGGCTATTTGTTTGGCTAACAATAAATTTAATAAGAAATCCTAAAGGATATTATATAGAACAATAATGAATACTCCACCTCCGACTAAGCGAAGCATTTTAAAAACGAAACTATGTTTTACTTGTGAAACTAAACATAAAGGTTTTACTAACGATGGACATGGTGAAAAAAGAAATTTTAATAAGCACGGAGACAGCATTCAAACCACTCTACTCGGTCAGCCGCTTTTTAGCTGCTCGAAAAGACAAATGAGTTCCCTTGCCCGTGGCTGACTCGACACCGGATGATTTGCGACGCTCGAGTCCCAAGGCGCTCTTTTTACAGAGATTTTCTCAAACAGCTTTGTTAACTCGAGTTTACCCGCTTAATTAATAGTGCCAACGCGTCAGACGAACTTTTCTTTTGGTTGTGGCTTCATAAACGGTTGTCTGATTAGTGAAAACGGTGATCTTGTTAGAGCTTTTATGTTTTTGCTTAGACTTTTTATATTGTAACAGATGTGATTGTGTATTCAAGTTTATGTTTAAAGGCATTCTGGCTCTGCACATTTCAGTATATTTACACAAAATTACATAAAAATTTAAATTTTTTTGGTAACATAAAAAATATGTTACCTCTTTTTTGTAATTAGGTTACAATGAAAATCGGGTAATACCAATCGAACAGATTATGAAGTTTAACTTGAGATAGTGAATCCTGAGAATTGGCGTAAGTTATGAGGTAAACAAAAAATTGAAAAAAAAATAGATATCAAAAAATTAAATTAACTTAATATAATTTAAGAACTTATGAATCAACCCAAAACTTTCTTGTCATAATTTTATTGGGATTGATATGACCGTTGAGAAACCCCCTTATGATAATTATTTCCTAAACACTCGTGGGAACTATATCTGACCCTTATGTCTTTGGCAGCTCCAAGAGATCTCTCCGTGGAGCAGACTGGGGACCAGTGGGCGATGCTTTGTTGGTCCCCTCCCCCCAGTGGCAGTCCCCTCGGCTACGTCATCTACCTGACGTCCACGACGGACTTCATGTCTGACCGCGCCCCCAGCGTCTCTACCCAGAGGAACATCACTAGAGAGGAGCTGGGGTCGCGAGGAGGCCGTGACTGTACGGCGCTCGCAGATCTGGAGTCATGGAGCGACTTTGAGGCTCGCATCGCAGGATGGGATGTCAACGAACTGGGCATGATTAGTAGAGCTATCTCCTTCGACACCAAAGTCAATAGTGAGTAAATACTCTTGGTTGTAACAAAATCAATAGTGTGTAGACAGTTTAAAAGAGCTACGGGAAATGCATTTGTTAGATTAAGTAGGAGGTTTTTACTATGATGCTAGGCTCGAGACCGGAATTCTTTTTCACATTACTTCAGGCTAGACCTAGGCGTTGCGGCATTATCACTTAGATAAAATGCATTGATGACATGGCGGGATTTTAACCCGGGACCTCGGGTACTGAAGTCCCGCACTCTATCCACTAGACCAGCTCGCTCCCCCAGACTAAGTAGGAGTGGGATAATTGTCTATAGGGAAAGTCATAAATTAATAAACGGATCTGAATAACCCTGGGTCAATCAATAATCGTTTATAGTTCTTAGTTACAACACCACAACCAATAGCATTTTCTAGTATAGTCATTTGTAGCTCGTTCTTCCCCTTGCACTGATTTAAGTCCACAAACAAATGTGGTGAAATGAGAGTTGATGAGGAAGAACAAGGGAAAGAGTCGAGCAGCTGGCCGTTTCTTAGGGCCATTTATAAAAAAAATCAAACTGCACGCGATATGATAGTTTTAATTCCAACTAAATCAAAATTAAAAGAATATTTGGCCAAGTACACTGGTTGTTTTAGTATTTATCTTGGTAAATAGTATAACAGATAGAAGCAACAGATGAGTAAGATTATCGGTGAGTGGATACATATTATTTTTTTAGAGTAGGTGAGCGAGGATATTAGTAGTTTCAGCTGACTTTTGCTCTAATCGATTGTACTATTCTGCTTTACCAAACACATATTTTATTTTTTAAGTTTGGATCAAGTTCATATCTAGAGTGAGCTGGTTAGAGCGCGGGACTTCAGTCCTTGAGGTCCCTGGTTCGATCCCCGCCAAGTCACCAATGGATTTTATCTAAGTTATAATGCCGCAATCCCTATGTCTAGCCTGAAGTAATGTGAAAAACAATCCCAGGCTCGTGCCTAGAGTCCTAGGAAAAAAAAAAACTAGACTCTAGAGTGAGCCAGATTTTTGCATTGGTTAAAAACTATGATCACAAACGGACTACCTAGCCATCTAATCGCATTAGCACTGCCTAGAGCCTAAAGTACGCGTGGATTATGAGATTCTGATTAACGAGGACACAATTAGTCGATGAAACTCTTAAGGTTTTCACATCCTTGGTTCCCGGTTCTTCCCTAAAGATGTTATTATATTACTGTCTAAGTTTACTTATATTATATCCAACGAATATCAATCAATCAATACGTTCCTCTGGAAGTTAAATTTCTTACGCATAGGTGTATAGATGGACAAAACCACTATTTTCTCTGAGTTAGATGAACTTTTCCTCAAGTTCTCTGTCAGCAATCATCTTAAGAAACTGTATAAATAGGTGGAATAGACCTTTGCTGGAGGTACATTTGTAGTTAACTTTAGAAATTTATTTTTCATCCTGCAAGAAAAAAAAAACTCGAATGTGGCAAGAACATTATAACGTTATAGACCTACAAAAACGTTATAAAGAATTCCACAAAATAATCCTTTGAAATTTAAATTATATAAAATTTTTTATATCGTTCGGAATTCTAATTGAAATTATTCAATGAAAATTTTATGTATCGACTAGATACAACACACTACCCTACTTTTGTTTTTTTTTGTTTTTTGTTTTTGTTTACTTTTTTTATTTATGGTTAAAACATAAATATCTTTTAAAAAATAAATGAAAACTATCACCAACAACCAAATAGTGTAAAACCAATCAAAGCTGACCTAAGCGGATAAATAAATGCATGTATCAACTTGAGCACTATGAAAATTATTTAATTTAGTTACTCATAATTGAGCCCAACATAAGCCTCTGTTAATTAACATCACTCGGTAAAGTATATAACTCGCAGTAAGCTAATTATGATCCGAAATGAAAAATACTTGTTGTTTATCCCTTGTCGCACGCTGTACGTGTGTAATTTATATCATCAACAAGACTCAGTCGTGCATTAGATACTGAATCAGCTGATTCTGGAAGCAATGTTGTTGTACTGTACATTTTTACCTACGACAGTTTTTTTTTATCAGTCGTTTCAGTTCAGTTCTTAGAATTAAAAAAAATCTCTTAACAGCATTATTTACTTACATAGAAACGCACCAATGAGGTTCGAGGATTGAGAGAAAATAAGTAAAATTGTATGCTTCAATATCAACTTATCAGCTGTTTAGACCAATTTAATTGTTAATCAGTGGTTAAATTAGTGTTTGGTACAATGATTCGTTCACTGCCAGTGGCAATGAGAGGTTCTCATTGCCACTGGCAGTGATGCAACGAATCCGAAATTAACGAAAACATAACCTCTCTTAGAAGTCGTGAGTAGTGATTGTTAGTAATTAATAAACTGTCGTAGGTACAGTAGTGTACGCAACTCGTGTAAATAGTCACTTAACACTTGCCAATTCTCGTACCTAAAATTTTTACTAGTGTCTTCAACACTATCTTTACGCGATCGTTGCGTAAACTACTATATCATTGTATATCAACGAACTTGGCTTTCTCATAGTCCCTTCACTTTTCATCTTTGAGTCAGTTTGCTATTTAAAATCAACTTTTACAAACCACACTTACAACACCCGAACAAAGGGCACACATGCAGTCCAACATAAACTCACAAAATTTGATCACAACCCAGATTACATGGGAATGTAATTGTACCAGGCCCTACCGAAAAAATTACTTGGAATTCAGAGTACAAAATTAAAATTAGAATTGAAAAAATATCTAGTGGAGTTAAGTTTTCATGACATAGACAGTTACCTTAACGGTGACAAAAACTAGTAGTTAAGTTTGGTTATTCTTTGTACTAACCCTGACCTGTCCAATTCCTTAAGGCAAAGGACTACGGACGGAGAGATCATGTATCATGTATCATGTATGTATCAAATAAATGTGTAGTTTGATTATCCCACATAATCTATATGTTATTTGATCATAAAAAGACATAGAAAAACTATTGATGAACGTTGGGATGTCAACCGTAAATGATAATAGCCTCTCCTGAGTGGTATGTGGCCATGACGAGCCTTAGAATGGTACAGGATAAATAGTACAACCCATGAGGTATGTGTTCATAACAAGTCACAGAACAGTACAGAGTGAATGATTGGTGACATGTCAACATAGACATTGCATTTTGTGTTGTGCAATCACTGAGATTATAATTAAACTGTTTTCCTGTAAGGTAGATTAAAACCAAAGTTTACGTGTACACTATCACTGTGCTATTAATGCTCCTATGTTTGTGTTTCGACGCAAATGTTTTTGTTTGATAAGTGTCAGGTTATTTCCACATTTCCTTACCCTTTCTTCCTTAAAAGTCTGTGAGGTGACTCCAAGTAGCCTGTCAAATCCAATTGTATACAGGGTGGAAAAGATGTCCCGGGACGGCTATATGTTCCAAAAAGTAATAAAGATATAGCTCTAAATTTGGTATACGGTTACTGGACATTATTAGAATGATTAACAAGTTATTCAATGACGCGCTACATCTTCAGGGGCACGGCCCACTAGGAGTAAGAATAAAATCATAAATGTAAGCATAGGTTAGTATGCACATTAAATTAAAGGAATTTGTTAGTCAAATACAATGCCGCAAATCCAAACTCAAAGGACAACCGATTTCAAAGTTACAGATTCAAAGATGCATTGAATTTGCAATGCTTTTATACGCTACCTCCTCGAGAGGCGCCCGCTAGAAGTCGGAAGAAAATCATAAACGAATTAGGATATGCACATCAAAATAAAAAGATCTTTCTTAGTAGAATACAATGCCACAAATTTGAGCTCCAAAGAACAACTGAGTAAAAAATGGCACAGTCAAACAAAGGCAGATTCAAGAAATATTTGAACGACTGCCATTTTTGACTCGGTTGTCATTTTTAATTTAATTCGTACCCTTAAAATTGTATTCTACTAGTAAAAGACCTTTGATTTACTGTGCATATCAACCTATGCTTACACTTAAGGTTTTCTTTTGACTCCTGGTCCCTCTGAGGAGGTAGTATATCATTGAATAATGCGTTAAAATTATTTAGTGCGCAGCAACTGTGTACCAAGTTTTGAAGCTCTATAATTATTACTTTTTTAAACATTTAACTGTCCCGGGTCTTTTATTCTACCCTGTATTATTAATGCATAAAGCTTACCAATGGATACAATATCCAAAACAGTATTATCATTGACATTAGAAAGTTCAAAAAGCTCAGACTGGCTATAACGGAGTTCAGGAGTTTAACAGCAGACCGTACCAGTTAAGGTATTTGAGAACCAGTCCCTCAGCTAACTCAAACGACAAGGGACAAATTTATATTATTTTCAAATAATATTTTTTTTCAACTCACGAGTTAGCAATGCTTCCGATAAGAGGACGTTGCCAATCAGCCCTTATACAAATAATGTTGGCCGCTGGTGGATAAGATTGTAGGACGGAAAGATACTAGATCGAGATCCAAATTAACCTTTTACAAAATGCCTCTGTAGTGCAGAGCGGTCTTGTATACACATGTCAGACACCTTACTTTTCTGTCAGATAGTCTTAATACCAATTTTGATTCAATACATAAAAACATTTTTTCGGAAAAATCTCTGGAATCTCCACATTTGATAAGGGGGATTGTTCTACACTTTGAGGATACGATCTGATCGATCAACCACCTTGATATATTTCTTCTCAATCCAACACTGTAAAACTAAAATATTTATAACTAGAACAAAAGTTAAGAAAAACATCGTAAACTATTTGGGAAACTGAACGATTGGCGCTGCATTTAGCAACTGAACTATTATATAAGTGGTAAAGCGACGAGGAATTTTTATGATTTTACAAAGAAAAAATCGTTTATTATAAAAGGTAGAATTTAGATTTCGGTGTTATGCTTTTATTTTAACTAGTAGGAAACCTTATTATTTTTAATTGCAGATACTAGAAAAATCGTGTTATGTTAAAAATGTAGATATAGCGTTTACCGGTTATTTGACCTTATTATTTTTTTCGGCTACGGTATACGCAAAATAAATACAGAAATATCGACAAAGTAGTTAAAATCTTTTTGCCATCAACTTATTTATTTTTTTTAGAAGCCTATGATATAACTCCAGTATGAATTTTTTTTTTTTATTAACTCTTAATGAAAGCGTTTATTTATAGCTAAACTTCAAGCACTAATACCCCGCCACAGCAAACCTGCAGACTAATCGAATTTCCATTTACCCGGCTGGATTTCTACTAAAATATTCCCTAAAAATTGTCAGATTTATTTCATATTTAAATAACATTAATACATTTTAGTGAGTACTTAGGTTTGCTGCTACAGCGAAGGTATTGATATTTGTTTTTTATTAAAATGTTGATAGCTTAGTATGAAATAAACAAAATTGCCAAATTTGATTAAAATATATCCATAAACAAGCAAACTACAACAGTTGATTTATTCTCCGTAAGAATAACATGGGAATTTAAAATTTAAAATTTTTCTAACTATCTCTGTAACCGTTGGGCATACAACAAGACTTCAATATACAAAATTATTATTTTTTTTAAGCTCTACAAAATGGTGTCAAGGGAAATTATAAAATGTTGTGTTTTTAAGAGTCGAAAATGGAAAAAATCAATTTTTACCCCAAAAACCACCCCAATTAACACCCGTTTCCATAGTCCGATTATGCAAATTAGCGAACTCGTTCGAATAAACGTAGGTTTACACGTTTGTAAAAAAATAATCAAAATGGGATCAGTTTTGCTCGAGTTATCGCGCTAACGGACACATATATATTCATTTGAACGAATAGTGTTTTTGGCCTCTGGGACTTTAAAACGAAACAGTTAATCGGTCCCGAGTCTAGGTCTTACCATGAGACCTTTCGGTAATAGCTTATGCCCTATATGGGAAATTCGCTAAAACAGAAGTAATATAAAACAAATTATTTTATTTTATCATATCACATTGTTTGACCGTGTGTTGGTGTAACAAAGAGAACTGTGTCCGTAGAGAACATTTTGTTGTAAGGAGAAGCTGTTTTATTTAGAAAGCACATGCCTCCCGATCACACGTCCTACTGCGGTATAGCCTTCATGATTTTCTAATTAACGCTCGCCGTTTCGCTCTCTCTTGACAAAACGGTTTTACACAGAATTTAATTATCGATTGGTAAACATTTTAAAATTAATTTTGAGGTTAATAATGGATTTAAGAATAGTAATTTACATATAATTTTAGTAATTAATAATTGTGATTTGTAATATTTTGAGGATATACCTCCTTTTGAATTGAGATATTTTCTATAATTATTAAAGTTTCCCTAAATAATTTTGATTGTTACAAATTTAAGAACAGTTTTACAATTTTATACTGTAACACATGATACAGAACATTTACTAGGTAAGTTGAAAGGTAACCGTTTAAAGATAGGTTCACTTTGACTCTTTATAAGGAAGTTTTACAATGAAAATGTGCAAAGCCTAACAGAATTCATTTTTAATTAATGGAAAATATATTAAATTCTGATTTTAATACGATTTTTATACACCTTAAAACACATGAATGTCAAATAAAATTCGTCTTTGTCTGTCAATAGTAGTGTTTGATTTATCGTCTTGTATTTACAGAATGTACATAGGCCTAACCCAATTTCCAACAATCGTGAGGTATTTCAATAAAGCTTTATTGCAGTATACTGAGAGATGAAAAATTGGGTATACAGGTTCGGTATAAAGTAGTTAGTATTTCATATCGGTTGTTGGTCTTGTCAAAACAATATTTCAGGAATGCAACAAATAACACAAAACAACCAATAAAAAAAATAGCCTTTTCTAAAAGCTACAGTTAAGTAAAAATTATTATTGAAAACGTAACTTATGAAACAACCATATTGTATACTTATCATTGCATACGCCTTAATTATTTTGTTTTACTACAGACTAATTTAATTAATACAATTTATTCGACATTTTTTTAATACTCGAACACAAACTACACGCACAAAAAGCTTTTGTTTCGATTTTCATACCTTTTAAAATAATATATTTTCCGTCAATATCGTCATTGGTGGGAGCCATTCAATTCAGCAAACCGATTGGAAATTGATTGGACTCCTACAACCTGTAGTTTTTTCTCCTTCGAATCTTGAAACTAACCTATTTCGGTATCAGAGCTTTAGCCTCTGAAGTCTGTTATAAGAGGGTAAAGATCCAATATAAAAAATCGTTAGGTATATTTTAAAAGCACTTGCAAAATTTAACCACAACTTATGTCAAACTAAAACTAAACTAACTAACTAAGTCTAACTAAAACGATGAATTATATTATATATTTTCAGATTGTCCTGATAATGCTTGTAACCAAGGTGAATGCATCGTAACTAGAGATCCTACGATTATGTATCGCTGTAAATGTGAACCTGGATACTTTGGGTTAAGATGCAACTTGTATGACCCGTGTTATTTCACACCTTGTCTAAACAACGGTGAGTTCTCAAAGTTCGATCAATATTTGGTGCAAAATGAGGCTTGTGGTTCTGGAAGCTTTGAATAGTCTGTGGTTGTTGATGGTGGAAGGTAAATTTGTAATTGCATGTTAAAATAGATTAAAACGTAAAAGCTATTAACACAGTTTTTTTATTTTAAAGATAAAAAATCCTATGTGTGATAATCTTCTATTTCAAATTTGATTGGTTGTGCCAAAACCAGGCAAAACCAACATCAACTCCTCTTTGTCGTTAAGCAAATTAAGGGTGATTGACATATTCAAATTACATGAATAATGTGGTAGCTTTTTACTGATAAAAAAGCAATAATTTAACAAAGACATGAAATAAATTTTCAAAAATGTACGAGAATATTATACGTGTAACTCTGATTCTTAGATCATTGTTTATTTAAAAACTTATATGCATATCCTTCAAGGACAAGAACTTATATATATATATATAATAATAATTTCCTCTATTACAACGATTATATGATTTTTATAATTTCATTCCATTGCCATTTTAGTATTTATACTTTATCTAAGCTGCAGTAAATGTTCTAAAATTTTTTATGATATTTAAAATTTAAGGAAATGTTATAGATGAATGGGAGTTTAGAGACCCATGTGGTAATGATTTTTCTTCAAAATAGGTAAACATCGAAATATAACAACAAGAACAAATAATATTCAACAAGAACAACAATATTATTGCCTCGATATGACGTATACTAAAACAAAACGCACTACATGTTTTAACTTTTTTGCAACGATTGAAAAACGTTGCGTAGCTTGGTCTAAGAGATTATCAGTCCCGTAAAAATCATTGGTTGACCATCGTCGTAGGAACTTCGGCGGATCGCTGGCTGGCATCAATGGTTAGAATTAAGTTGGGTCTGATTGAGTCCGAACCTCTAACTTTTGTTCTTGATTAACGAGGAAATACTTGGCAAATGCTTTCGCTTAAATACATCTTGTGACGATCCGATAGTTTAACCTTCCACGTCGCCATTGTAAAGTACATGTATCTACTATATTTTATTATAGTTGAATGAACCACATATGGACTGTGCTCCTCTCAATATTTGATTTTGTCTCGTAATTTGATGATTAAAGATACCTTGACATAAAACATGTCATATACATTGACTCAGTTTAGCTAGTTTAGGTCATAGAATACAACACAATAATTGACAGAAGCACAATCTGTAAGTAGCTCATTCAAACTTCAGTGCATTCATATTCATTCAAAAACTTACAGAAACTATTAAATGGGAACATGGTGTTTAGTTAGTCTCCATAATCAAAGATTGAATATATTATAACAAATTAATTGATAGTTCCTGAACCGAAAACTATTTTTTGTTACTGAATAGATTAAACAAAACATTTCTTTTACTCCAGGAACATGCTACAATTTAAACAACAGCCAGTTTAAGTGTTCTTGCCTGGCGGGCTTCTACGGAGAAGATTGCTCGAATTTCAACCCTTGTTCAAGCACTGTGTCTCCGTGCCAACATGGAGGGACTTGCACCAGGTATTTAAACACTAATTTCAGTGGCCACTAAATTCAATAGCCATACTTTTTTCTTAATTTTATACGTACTTATGTTAAGGAAATTGTAAAAATCAATTAAATCTAATAAATAAATAGGAGTAAATATTATTTAGACTGATTGAAAAAAGAACAAGTTTATTTAAATTTTGTGGTATTCCCCTTTTGTTTTGTAATTAATTTAAAATGCTACGTTGACAAGTCCACGTAAAAAAAACGTATAAGTTAAAATAAACATTCATTAACCAACGTTTGGCTACAATATGTATTATTCTATATATCTTTTAAGGGGGTTGCATATAAAATACATCAGGAAAAGTTTACAATGTAATATATTAGATAATACAGTACCTGTTACACTTTTACTGAAAATTTAGCAAAAATGTCTGACTCTGTTCACCTAACATCAGCTGATTGTAAAAAAAAATAGTAGGGCGTTGTATCATCACGGTTCTGGCAAAATATTGAACAGTATGTCAAATGTAAAAAAAAAAAAAAAAAAAAAAGAAGTCAAGCAACAGATTTATTATATAAAATAATATTTTGATTGATATCGTAAGGTGATAAGCATTGTAAATTTTTATGTAAACAATATGTGTGGTATAACAGGGGTGCAAAACTGAATCTACAGGGTGAATAAAAAGTCAAGACCCCCCCCTCTAATATTTTTCCAAGTAAATATACAGAGATATCTTTTTGGTGGTCGAGCAATCTTAGCAGGAAGTTTCATTTTATCATTTTGAAATTTTTGAGTGCCCCCCCAAAAGGGGGGATTTAAGGGGCAAATCAAATATTTTAAATGTAAACCCCCTTCAAATGACACCTCATTTTGAAGTGTTTACAAAAACTTAAAGAATGGTAAAAAGTAGAGGTCGCTATCTCTTCTCTATCCAAAATGGTAGCCCGTCAAATGTTGTGGAAAATCAACGGTAAAATTGTCAATATTGGCTGCCATTTTGGATAGAGAAGAGATAGCGAGCTCTGGTTTTCACCATTCTTTAAGTTTTTGTAAACACTTCAAAATGAGGTGTCACTTGAAGGGGATTCACATTAAAAATTTTTGAGTATCCCCCAAATGGGGGGATTCGGGGGACAACTAAAAATGATTCAATAGAAACCCCTATCAAGTGATACCTCATTTTGAAGTGTTTAAACAAACTTAAAGAATGGTGAAAACCAGAGCTCGCTATCTCTTCTCTATCCAAAATGACAGCCAATATTAACAATTTTACCATTGATTTTCCACAACATTTGACAGGCTACCATTTTGGATAGAGAAGAATTAGTGACCTCTAGTTTTCACCATTCTTTAAGTTTTTGTAAACACTTCAAAATGAGGTGTCACTTGAGGGGAGTTTACATTTAAAATATTTGAGTTGCCCCCCAAATCCCCCCTTTTGGGGGGACACTCAAAAATTTCAAAATGACAAAATGAAACTTCCTGCTAAGATTGCTCGACCACCAAAAGGATATCTCTGTATATTTACTTGGGAAAATATTAGAGGGGGGGGGTCTTGACTTTTCATTCACCCTGTATTTTGAGATGAATTGCAAAATGGAAAATTATTTAATTTTTATTTTTTGGGGAGATAACAACTAACTGGGCTATTTTGGGTTGGATTTTGAATTCAATAAAATCCACGTTGGTTTGCAAGTTATTTTAAATTGCATTAAAACTATCATCTTATAAAATTGAGAAAAATACACGAAGCTGCGTGTTCAAACATGAATATGGGTAAATAATGATAAGTGCAAAATGGAGTATAATCCATTTAGTAGGTTTGTTACTAACTAATATAAACAGCTGTTTTTTAATCACAGACCCTTTATTAATAGCCTAATAACCAAGAACAGTTAGGACCAGTTTCGTACTATCTAAACGAAAGTGACTAATATAATCAGCTGTTTCTTAATCACTGAGCCTTTATTAATAGCCCAATAACCAAAGACAGCTAGGTCCAGTTTCGTACTATCTAAACGGTACTGACTTATCTCCGGACCAGGAGACCCATCTGAAGACTAAATGAATACATTTTAAGCACAATTTAAGAGAACCGTTTTGGTCATAGAGACACCAAAAACTAATATACTTTTTTATAATTTTATAGATATATTTTTCAAAATTTTGTAAGTTTTTATTCATCACATTGTAAGCTTTTACAATATTATAAAATCAGTAATTATGAGTGCCTTGAAGGGAAACCCAAGTACCAATCGACACAAATTTATAACAGGTTGAAAACGATTAGCTGGAATTTTTGGCTTCTCTTCAACACCACTATGATGACTTAGGTGTTATGGTAACTTAAGGAGTGTAAAAGTGTATGTGTAAAATAAATTATATAATTTTGTTTTTTTTTTCAGCTCAGGAAGTAACCAGTATGTCTGCGATTGCCCGGCAGGCTACCAAGGGCAGTCCTGTGAGATATTCAACCCTTGTTTGCAAACCGCGTGTAAAAACGGAGGAATTTGTGAAAACAAAAGTAGTACTGAATTTGGCTGCACCTGCCCCTCTGGTTATACTGGTGAGTCTAGAAAATGTGCACGTAACCAACATAATCCTTTATATCTTTGTGGTTCTTGTGGGTTAGCTGAAGAAGGTTCAAGGTAGGCTTTCCGGCTTTTGTTGCAGCACGTGTTGCTGGTAAGAACTTCTCCCTCGTGTTTAACTTATGTAAAAACTATTTTTACTAAATAAAACCATCCACTTGTAAACAATAGCTTGTCATCAGGTATTTAACCATACAGTAAAGTACAAATAGTATGATCTATCATAAAATAAAAGGTAAATATTCGAATTAGGCGCACTCCAAACAATACCAACATGGAACTAATATCAAATCAGACTACATAAAAGAAGAAGTGCACTATTTCAAGTCAAACTTGCACGTGATCGTCTAAATATGACAAATAGTCCAAAATGCTATTGCATTTGTTTGCTCATTTAGATTGACTAGACTGTAGTAAAGTGTGTGTATACGTCTGCCGATCAACAAAAGAACCAATACATTTACAAGAAATTCAAACAATCAATTTTAGCAAGATTGCTTTACATCAAGTGAAATTAGAATTCACAAGATATCACAGAAGTGTTCATCATTACTATCATCATACCTACATTGATAATCTGAAAAAAATCTACGAATTTTAATTTTGGAATGAGAGTTAGATTAGTAAATTCCAATGGAGAGAGATATCATGTGTAGCTTTGTTATTGGCAAAAAATCAGCTGATTTTATATCCAGAACAATTTACTATAGCCAAATAATCAAGAACAACTGGGTCCGCTTTCTATCAGAAAAATCCTCATCCTTATACATTTTTATTTCCTTATCACTTCACCTATTTGCATCTGAGTTATACTGAATGAAATATATTGAATCTTTATTCAGACTACAATAGAATACCAGCTCAGTTTTACATTAGATAGTAGAATATTCAAGGGTTCAGCCAATCCCTAGTGGAATTTAAGCATGCCTTGCCGTCGTGAAATAAAAAGAGATGCAATAGGAACATTTACTATTTGTGGTGTTTCCAATGGCCGATGAGCTATGTTGCACCAAGTTATTTTAAGTTATCTAGCTCTTTTAAAACCTCAGATGACCAAATATTGTTTGTTTTATCACACATGCATTGTTTCCCTCCTTACAAACTACCTTATTAAACTCTAACAAGTGCACGTTAACGCTCAAACATTATTTACATCAAATAATAGAAAAATATATCTTTTCCATTTGTTTGGCTTTTCCCTTTGCTTTTAAAATTCTTCGCAGCCTGTAAACTTAAATATGTATAAGGTAAAATAGTATAAATGTGTTTCGATTTAAACATTCTTGTTTGTAAATAACTTAATACCGTAACGTAAAAACTGACAAAAACTCCAAATTTCAATTTTTTATACTGTTTATTCGTTCAATCATCAACCAACTAATTTATCCGAGCGCGGATGAATTAGTTAAATGAAACTTTCTTCATGTTTTTAATAAGCTTCATGTTTTTCATGAGCTAGATTTAGAATCAAGCAATAGAGCTCATATGATAGCATCACTCTTCAGGGGTTTCAACAATACATCAACGGTTTTCTCAACAGCACACAGAGTAGTTTTCATCCGTATTCACTTGGTTCAAACTCCGAATAAATAGACTCAACAGTATCTAACGAACCATTGGTTCAAAGAGCCTTTTAATGTAAGTTTCTGAATAATGGTTAACGTTGATTTTCTTACAAAATCCTTTCGGTAGTATGCTAACTGACTGTAACAAAAAACATAATATTATATACCCCCGCAGAAGCAAACCTGCCAAATAAGCAAATTTTTATCTGTCTTGTGAGGTAACAAATTTTAATGGGGGTAAAAACGTACTGCCACTCAAAAAACACCATAACTTACCAGTTTTCATCCAAAATAGCCTACCCCTAGGCCTGTTGTCCATAGCTTGGGCTATGGGCCAATGAACGTAGGCATATTTTTAATTACTGTACAGTGAAGTACGCACACTCACACGACATATTTATCAGTAGTAGCACTCCATTTCACAAAATAAAGTTAAACCGACCGACTTAACGCTGGCGACGACACATAACCCCAAACTGGTGGTTTTTGACAGACGGTAGACGAAGACTAGCCTAACATAAACTGTCCAATCAGCTGTTAACTAGTTCTTAGGCTCACCACCAGAGCGCTTAAGCCTCGGCTGAGGAAATCGTGATTTGAGCCGAAGAAGAGATTATTCGCTGTTTGACCGCCGACTAGCTCGCTAGAAGCCTCTCGGACGAATTACGAATACGATGACGTGACGCTACGATTTTATCACGAAGGTTAGCTACCATAGTAGTTAGACCCTTTTACGTTTTACTTTATTTTCATTCAACATGTTCATTCTCGTTTGCTTCAAAATTCGATCAGACATATATAAATTTAATAACTTAAAATTTCACCGACTTGAGTCAAGACTCAGCAGTTCCTGCCTGACAGTGACTAGCGGTGGCTATCGTTTAGTTTTATTTTAATTAATTAGTTTCGAAATTATAATTAATCCTTTCGCTTTACTGAACAATTATCACGCAGAATTGTTTGATTAATTCACTGTTTAAATACCCCAAGACTTGTCGACTGCGTTCTAATAGTGCAGTAAAAATAAGAGAAAAATTCCATAAACCTAAAAAAAATTAGCACAACCAGGGAATTTAGTACAGATGTTGGGTGTACCTTCCTTTTGAACAAACTAAAAGTCCCCTAAAATTGAAGCTGTGCTACGGCCGCCATATTGGAAAATGGCGGCATATTTCTGTACTTTTCGCTATAGTCACTTTATTATTAGAGATACAGGAAAAAGCTAAATATACAAAATTTAGGTCATCTAAAAATACACATTTTTTGTATTTACCATCTTTCTCTAAACCCAACGGTTTTTGAGTTATTTGTTATTAAGTATATTACGTTTTTTCTATTTATCAAAAATAGGTGAAACACATGGAAATTGTCCGTTACTTTCAAGGATTATGATAATTTATCCTATTTAGTTAAATAGTGTGATACTATAAAATCTTAAAATTTAAGCTTATTTTATGAGTAAAACAACACTGCCACAGCAAACCTGCAGACTCAGCAAATTTCCTTTTGATTGGATGTTTTATTAATTGTATTTAAATAAAATCAGATTCAACAGGTACCTAGGTTTGCTGCTACAGGTAGGTTATTATAGTGTGTTTTTTTTTTTTAGTAAAATATCAATAACTTAGTATAAAATAATTAATTTTCCAAGTTTGATCATAATAAATCTATAAACAAACAAACTGCAACAGTTAACTAATTCATAATAATAGCATGGTAGCTTAAGATTTACAATTTACAAATTTAAATATTCAAATTTTGGTTGTGTTTACTAAAAATATGGCGATTATTCGTTACGATTCGAATACTAACCGAAGGAGTTTTCAAAAGGAGATGAAGCAAGTAATTTAAGTACTGTAATATTAACTCGTACCAAGTATCGGAAATATTGTATGGAGTGAGGAAATCAACCATATTTTGTAAACTACGCAATAGTCATATTAATATTTTATACTCATTTGTACCCATTTAATAAAATAACATTTTAATATTTTGATGGCACTACCACTATCACTCTGATATCAACTAAGTGGGATGAATAATTGTCGTAAACCTTGAAAGTAACCGTCGATTGCGATGGGTGCCACCGATTTTTGATAAATAAAACTAACTATACCATGCTTAATTAGTCACCAACATGAACGAGACACGAAAAACACCCTTCCAAATTTAGAATGGGATGTCAAGTATAGTTAGTTAGTGTGGTGGTGCCATCAAAATACTAAAATGTTAACTATTAAATGGATAAAAAATAAGATAAAATATTAATATGACTATTGCGTACTTTACAAAATATGGTAGATGACAGTTCTTTTGAAAACCCATTTGGTTAATATTCTAATCGTGACGAATAATCACCATCTTTTTAGTAAACACAACCAAAATTTGTATACTCAAATTTGTTTATTGTAAATTTAAAACTCCCATGCTATTCTTATGAATTAGTTAACTGTTGCAGTTTGCTTGTTTATAGATATATTTTGATCAAACTTGGAAAATTAGTTATTTTATAGTAAGGTATTGATATTTAAAAAAAACACTATAATAACCTACCTGTAGCAGCAAACCTAGGTACCTGTTGAACCTAATTTTATTTATATACATTTTTTAATAAAACATCCAATCAAATGGAAATTTGCTGAGTCTGCAGGTTTGCTGTGGCGGAGTTGTTTTACTCATAAAATAAGCTTAAATTTTTCGATTTTATAGTATCACACTATTTAACTAAATAGGATAAATTATCATAATCCTTGAAAGTAACGGTCAATTTCCATGTGTTTCGCCTATTTTTGATAAATAGAAAAAACTAAATATACTTAATAACAAATAACTCAAAAACCGTTGGGTTTAGAGAAAGATAGTAAATACAAAAAATGTGTATTTTTAGATGACCTACATTTAGTATATTTAGCTTTTTCCTGTATCTCTAATAATAAAGTGACTATAGCGAAAAGTACAGAAATATGCCGCCATTTTCCAATATGGCGGCCGTAGCACAGCTTCAATTTTAGGGGACTTTTAGTATGTTCAAAAGGAAGGTACACCCAACATCTGTACCAAATTCCCCGGTTGTGCTAATTTTTTTTGGGTCAAAACATATTTTTACTGTACTAAAACCCCGTCTGTAGCAGGTGAAAGAATCAAGTCTGGGAAGTAGGCCGATTTGAACAGTCAGTTACGAATATTAGTATTAAATCTATGTTAAATCACCTCACGCTAAATTCTCCGTTTAGATCTACTAATTAGGCCCTGACGACTCTGTAGGAGTCTTAATACTGTAGATTGTTAATTCCATCACCGCACTTTCACAGAGACGTTAACTATTTACTTTGAAGTTTAATACGAGTAGTTTATCGCATTGGCTAAGATAGAATACTCGTCGGCCCTACAGAGTCAAAATAAAAGTTAGGCAACATCTTTAAAATTTACCGAAACACTTTAACTAAGATGAGGATGATATAGCTCCAACCGAGTGTCTGCAGGATTTCCTGAGCTTCTAGAGTTCTGAGCCTTCGATTAAATCTAATAAATTGATCAGCCAAAGACGTGACAACTTCGTTCCACCCCTGGATTTTTCTCGGCTCCTTCTGAGCACTCCGAGGAAGAAATTTGAGTGTGGCTGATTCTAGGGGTAAGCCTAGCATCACTTTGCGAATACTAGTTTATTCCCCCCCCCCTAGAACTTTGCGTCACAGCCTGAATAGATTTTTTTGATTAAATCTATTTAAATAAAATTACGTTAAACGAATGCCTAGGTTTGTTGCTACACACACACTCACAACACTTAACAATATTCTCCATAAGAATAACATGGGATTTTTAAATTTACAACTTTTTTATAATTTTCTCTGTTAGGCTACCAATAACCTTACAAAAGCACTTTGAAAGACTAAATTATTCGTTTTTAAGTTCTTTAAAAAGGTCTAGAGAGATATTAAGAAAACCCAATTTTTACCCTATAAGACCCCTTAAAACGTCGTTTCCATGGGCCGATCATGCTGGTTCGCGAACTCATTCAGGTTTATCCTGCCTTACACATTTAAGCTGAAATTCATCGAAATCTGACAAAAATCACTCATGTTTTTGTATTCACGGACACAGAAATAACTCAGATATACAGATATATAAAAGTTTGAACGAATTGTGTTTTTTGCCCCTGGGGACATTGAAATGAAAAAGTAAATCGGTCCTGGGCAATCGGGTCTTACCGTGCCACCTATGGTAATAGCTACTTCCCTATAGGAAAATTCGCTAAAATCTTAAATGAGTGTATTGAAATAAACTTAGTCTCACTTTAAGGTTTATACTGCTACATGATTGACATTAACATGCAAAATGTGTTCATGAATGAATAATAAAACTCCTGCATCAGCATTTTATTTTGGCCAATCCTCCCATTTGGCCTCATTATGACTCTCGAATTCGATCACCGTTCTAACTATACAGGGTGGTAAAAGTCCCGGGATAGTTAAATATTTCTCAGAATAGTATAGATAGAATTACTTAACTTGGTACAAAATAAATGAACATTAACATAATTTTAAGAATTTTTTTTACGCAACTAGCTCAGGGGAAAGGCCTGCTAGGGGTCAGAAGACAATCTCATACGTAAGCGTATTTTGATATGCACACCAAATTAAAGGGTTTTTTAATGCTGCAAATTTGAGCTCAAAAGAACAAGCGAGTCGAAAATGGCAGACGTACAATGATTCAAAATAGCTAATTTAAGAAATATTTTAACAGCTGCCATTTACGACTCGCTTGTTCTTTTAAGCTAAATTTTTTGGCATTGTATTTTACCATACAAGACCTTTAATTTGATGTGGCTATCAACGTTTAAGGATTTCTTCTGACCCCTAGCGGGCCGTCCCCCAGAACCAGTGTATCATTAAATAATGTGTCAATATAATTATAATGCCCGGTAACTTTGTACTAATTTTTGTATCTCTATCTTAACTATTTTTTGAAATATTTAACAGTCTCGGGACTTTTTTCCACTCCGTACATTCAGCAAATTGTAACGTTTATAGTATAAGTGTAAATACAATATGCATTGTGAAGATTCGAAAGATATATCATATGACATTTGTAAAACATGTACGTACTAGTCATAAACAAATTAAAATATTAGGTCCCTCAGATAAGAAAAGTTATCTCTAATGATATTATAAATAATAATGTTATCTCCATATGTAAGTAGTATTATGCAATAAAGAACAATCTTTTTGCAGCATTAAGTTGTTGATAAATCAAATAATGAGCAATAATCATGGATTTATGAGACGATTTAGTTCGTAATTATGCACAAGTCGTTTTTTATCTGTAATTCCTAGCACTGAAAGGAGCAAATGTTTTTTTTTAAGATATATAATTTAGTTAAAACTGTTTGAACCCGTTTTAAGCTGATTCTTTGCAACAAATATAGTCAATAACAAGTGTAGTCATTAAATAAATCCTTAAGCAAATGATTGAAACCAACTTAATTATTTCCCATAATTTAAAAACTTAATTCCACGCATATCACTTGTTTCATAAACACATTAATTAAAACAATAACGTCATTTTATTTCCTTTGAAAATTAACTTAATCTTCAATGTGATCAGAAAGAGAGAGAGCAAATTCAAAATATCAGCGGAAAGTCCCACCAACTTTGCTATGGTGATATTGTTTCCAGAACTTTGTTGGGTAAAGTGATATTGGACCAACTACTAAACTCCCTAAGCAAAGTTCCTACATGTTTGACTATGTACTTGTTAGAACTCTGTTTTTAGATGATTATACAGAAACTTCCTACCACGAAAGTGCCTTCGCAGTCTTCAACTACTTTGCAACTTATATGATGATATTAAAGTTCAATTCTACCCGTTTTGTATAAAGAACTTTACCTCGATGTCAGCATTTGCGTCTCTTACCAATTTTAGTTCGAACCGTTATGAAATTTAACTTCTTATACATATAACTACGTTTAATACTGTATTTTTGGGTTTTGTAGTACAACAGGTAGATTTTACCTACGTAAAGGAATTACTTTACCCCCTTTCTACACTTTTTCAATTCTATATTTCACTCAATTCTGAGGCAAATGTTCCGTATAAGTATTAATCTACAATTCGGTATTTTAAATGTACTTGAACATTTGAATCCGAATATTATTATCGTTCACTTGAATGCACATATCTCTTAAAACCCTTATGATTTTGTTTTCATCTGTACAAGGTCGGAAATTTCATTAAAATCAATTTTACTTAACACTTTATGCACAATGTTTGACACCAGAATAATATTTACCCAAAGAATCTTAAACTTTAGGACTTTTTTGTGTTCCATATAAATCTTTATTTTTGTAACCATATTACGAACACATAGTTCTCCCATTGACGGCTGCTGCTCAGTATACCTATGTTTTAATAACCGAAATTCGCGTTCTCTCTAGGCTTAATACATCTTAAACGTAGTTTAAGGTGTATAATAAGAAACTTGTAGTAAGTTATTTTATGTAGTATATATATGTAGTATATATATATATATGTAATATATATTTAGAATGTAAGACAGCTTAAATTAATTATTTTCTAGGAAATTTTTGTGAGGTGGAAATAGACGAATGCGAATCTTCCCCCTGTCTAAACCAAGGAAGATGTGTCGACGAAATAGCTGCCTTCAGATGCATCTGTATTTCAGGATTCGATGGTAATAGTGTATTACATTTCAGAATTTCAGAGAGCTAGGAAAGTTGACTTAAAGTAGACTCGTTGCAGTATTATAATCATGGTTGTTTATTTCTAAAAAGGTTTTTGACAGTTTTTTTTAAATCTTTTTAATTTAACACAGGCTTTTGGGTGTGTATATTATAACCAAACTGTATAGAATACTTTAAAAGGTATGTAGGCAGAGATCAGTATGAAATCGGCAACGTGAAAAATGTGGGAAGGAATCCCGAGCACAAGAGAAATGTTTCACAAACAACAGCTATGGAACTTGATCTCGTTGGAAGTTGGAACATTATATGCATCAGCTTCCCGGTAGCAGCCAACCTAAGTATTAATCAAAAGTGATGATATTTAAATAGGGAATAAAGCTCAAATAATATAGGAAATATTTGAGTTAAAATACGATAACGTAAGTTTAAATTCTCTGAGTCTGAAGGTATAAAGCGGTAGTGTTATTTTATGATGGTCTTATTAGGGGTACATTGTAAAACATAGGGGTTATAAATATGTTCTTTGGCACGATGGTTATGTATTGAAAACAATCGGCAAAGAAACATTTAAATTCTAAAGAATTGTAACAATTAAATGTTTTTTTTTTTTCAAAGGTTACAAACGGTTCCTGTTCGTCACTCTCTGATTCTAACTACAATTGGCAGCTCACATTAATATATATCCAAATTTTCAATTATAAAATCGTCTGTTTTCCAGGAGATTTGTGCGAGACAAACGTCGACGACTGTCTTTCCAGCCCTTGTCTTCATGGAGGCACGTGTGTAGATTTGGTGGACGGACATTCGTGTACTTGCATCTCAGGACGAACTGGTAAGTTTTACAATAAAAAGCATACATTTTGGCTCGTATTTCACCTATACATTATATTTTTAGTGTAACTATTTTCCTAGTACAATACTAAACATGATCTTAACAAACAATAAAAACTACAATTTCCCAACAGGATTGCTATGTACATGATAATAGCATTTATATTTGATATGCGATTCCCCTTTATTCATTTTGAGTTTTCTTTAGGCCCTGTATGCGAATTTGAAGTGAAAGAATGTGCCTCAACCCCTTGTAAGAACAACGGAACTTGCGTGGAAGATACCCCTGGATACACTTGCGTCTGTAGCGCTGGATTTGAAGGTAAGCACTCACATTGTTACATGAAAATACCTATTTGCTTGGTAAACATAAGTAGAATGTATTTAGCTCGTAAAATCGTGACTATAATTCAGGAATGCGACGATAATCTCCGGTGAATGCGATTCGTGGATACATCATGAACCTCCGTGATCACGACGATATCAGCTTCTTCTACACGTATTACGGTAGAAATACCGTTGATTGCACCATCTTTGGAGACGTCTTCCGCGATCGTGATATTGGTGTCGTCAGCCCAGAATAAGTCGCAAAATTGATTATATTCTGCCTGTTAAACCAAGATAACCATTAACTGAAGATTTGAATGATGAACAAACCTTATCTTTAGTAGTTTACGCTACGATCATACTCGTAGAAGTATCGCCAAGGCTTGTACCTTAAATTCTCTACTCGTGTCGTTAAGACTATCTTTACGCAAGTTGCGTACACTACTTTACCTTTTACCGGGTTTTAATTAATAATAATCACTACCTACTAAAAACTTCTAAGAGAGGTTATGTTTTCGTTTATAACCTCTTATTGACACTGACATTGATGGAACGACTCATTGCACCAATCGTTAACAATTAAAATGGTAAACAGCTGATTAGCTGGAGTTCGAAGCATTACAATTTTACTTCTATGCCGTTATGTAAGTAAATAAATTGTTATGTGAAACTTTACAATTCTAAGAACTGGACTGAAACGGCTACTTAAAAAAAACGGCCGTAGTTAAAATCTTTAAATTACGTTAATTGTGGTTTTGTTGTAAGTCTATTATAAACCTCACTACCCACTCAAGGGTATATAATTCTAGTAACGATTTGCCAGTCTGGGTATTGAAAACTTGGTATTGGCTTTCGGGTCTGGGTTGTGTACCAGCAGACCTCTTTAGTAGAGAAAACATCCCGGAAGTGTTCCGTATTCTATTTCTTCTCATGACCTAGCCAAACTGCTACCGGTCGGTCACAACTGAAAGTTTAGGGAAAACTATTTAACGTTCGTGTAAAGTTGTTTAATATAGAAAACGTTTTCGATCGAGAGCTCTAACCTCTCTTTTATAGATAGGCGAACCTTAAAAAGGACGTCTGAAATACTGGGTCACGTTTTTAACACATATAATCAAAACACTCATACGTTTCCCTCATACTATCACTCATTCGTGATTGCAACAACTTGAACCTAGGCCCCCAGGACAGTCCCCCGTTCTAACAACTATAATTCGTGCCCTTTGGGTTATATCCAACTAATTGTAAAATAGCTTTGAACAAGAAAGAAATAAATCAAACGAGTTTTGCAGTGTCGTATGACATAAGTCAACAAATTATCAAGTAAAATTGGATAAAGGTTTGCAAAGTTTGAAATAACCAACTTCACAATGAGCAAAGACTGTTTATTAAGACTCCTGTTTATGATTGCGCGACCTACATTTCATTGACGACTGTGAAAATGAGATTGGAGTTTAATGATGTTTACTTATTGTTTTACCCTTTCAAAAACTCTAAGTTAATTGTGATTTAAATTTCTTAGAATTCTGTTTCTTCTTAAAGCTTATGCCATTTTCTTCACAGTAGTGACTCTGGCAAGTTTAAAATACTGTAAGGTATGAATAAGTGTGTTTTATATTATTCAAACAAACTCTATAGGATTTTTTCTGGTTATACTTCAACGTAAAGCTGTTTAACAAATCCTAAAACCGTTTATAAATTCTTGTTACAGGCGATTCTTGCGAAGTAGAAATAAACGAATGCAGTTCGTACCCTTGTCTAAACGGCGGTACCTGCATAGATGGTGTAAACGACTTTAGATGCACTTGTCTGCCTGGGTTCACTGGACGACGATGTGATATTAATATCGGTAAGTTTAGCTAGGGAATTTTTTTTTTTAGTGTCCAACTTGTACATTTTTCGCATTTTGCCGTTTTTAGACACACCCGTGGTGATACTTTGTCTGGTGACCAATTTAAAATGACGTGATTCAAGACCAAACAGTAACATGGCATCTAGTTAAAATATTATTAAATTTACAGTGTGATTGAAAAGTCCCGGAACGGTGTAATATATTTTTTCCATTATAAAGTAATAAAAGTCGGTATATTAATTATAAACATAAATGTCTACTCTTTCAAGCTATTATTACTTTTACCTTCTAAGGGGAAACTATGGCTTTCAATTTTACTGTGTTGGCCCATAAGGAGTAAGTGAAAATTCTCAAATAGCGGCATGGGTCTGGTTTGGTATCAAATTAAAGGTCTTTGCAAAACACAACGCCACAAACCCGAACTCATAACTTGATATCAAACTCGACCTATGCTTCAACGTTTTTTCGACCGCTGCTATTTGAGAATTTTTTCTTACTCCTCATGGGCCCCATTAGGAGGAAAAAAGTAATAATAGCTTGAAAAAGTAGACATTTATTTCCTTTATCAATAATAGTACAAAATATATTACACCGTTCTGGGACTTTTCAAACACAGTGTATTTGATTTTAAATGTTAATACTTTTAACAATAAATTTTCAAAGTAAAATGCTACTGTAAATAGTTTTTAAAATCTATCAAATCAATGCAGCCTTCATGATTTCCTTTGTTTAGTTATCATTTCCAGACATATGTTTGAAAATAAATTTAATAAAACATTGAGAAATATATAAACATCTCATTTATAATACCAAACCGGCCACTGAAATTAAATAAAGCTAAGATGATTCATATATTTAAATGTGTACTGTAAAAATTGTTCTGCAAGTTTATTCATGATACTATGCATGTCAACTAGATACCATTGATATTTTACTCATATACTTACTTATGAATATTGCCTTATAACCAGGTTTATGAAATTTACAACTTTTAATTCTGTAAAAAAATAGTTACTCATACCTGAAGCGGCTTCTTTTCCAAACCGTTTGTCTAAAAATATCATAGCTGTTTGAGCTTCTGACAAAGTTTACATTGATTAGTGTATTAATTAATAGAAAATTTGTAATCTCAAACATTACTTTAGAAAACTGTATCGTATGTTATATGATTATTCTGCTATGAATATTATTATCAAATGTTGTACAATAGGGTTTTATCATCATAATTGGAGTTTTATTTTTATTTTGTTTTGTGTTTACAGACCTTTGCTCAGATTATCCTTGCCAGAATGGAGGGACATGTATACAGTTTATCACAGAAAAGGAAGCCTACTTCTCTTGTCATTGTGCTGCTGGGTTTAGTGGCCACTCTTGCCATCAGAAAGGTACAATTGCTTTACTATCTTTTACAGGCGCATCCTACCACTACACAAACAAAAACAAAATTTTAAATTCAAAAAATAAGAAGTAAATATGTTAATTGAGATTAGGAATAACTTACATTATTTTTAGAAAACTTTAAAAATAGTGTTTAATATAATGCAAGCAAATGCACGTTCTTAAAATTGGTTTTGGTTAAATATATAGGTAAATTATAATTTATGTATAGGATATTTTTTATACACAGCGATTAATATAATATTGTTTTAAAACTACAAATAATAGTTTTTAATGATTCTACAAATCTTTGGAACGTCTTTCTGTTAGCTATTTACTTTGCACTTCAATAATGCAGTAGTCGCAACATTATTGTATCGCATAATATCTTACAGGTTAAATTGATGGTATTAATTTATATTTGGAGTGAATATAGCTTAATTTCCTGTAAAACTTATTAGTTTAATTCGTTGGATGTACTACGTATTCTCAAATGCCCCTAAATGAGACACTCCCTAATAGAATTTCAAAAGTATGCCTTCGATCTAGGTTCTTAACAATTATATACTTATATGAAAATATAAGCCGGTTACTGCCTAAACACTGGTTCGATTATGTTCAAAACTCAACAGTGAAAATATAGCATTCTATGTTATAGTATTTTTGTTCATTAGATTTAAATCAGTTCTTTACCGTCCATAAACTCTTTTTCATGTACAGCCTTACAGTTTTCTCTAGTGAAATAAATATTCAATATTTTGATGGGTGAATAACCACCATATGTGTAACATAGTTCCAAAACTGATCAATATTGACCATTTGTAACTAACCATGAGGTTAAGAGTAATATATACCATCTACGGGTATTCTACAAGATTGTCTAACACCATGAACATTCACCATGTTTAACACCATTAGTGCAATTCACCAGTATTTATTTAGGATGGATCAATACAAACTCCTTCGAATGTTTCACAGAAAGGTGTCCTCCTGAGATTCAGCCCACCAAGAAAGGTACATTTATGTGGCCGGAGCTAGAGTTTAACACGACATTTCAACTCGAATGTCCTTACGGATCCTCATCAAACGCTTCTCGCGAAACAGAAGCTGCACAGAGAATCGGCAAGAAAACCATCAACAAGGAGAACCCTGAGAGGCATAGAGATGATGGCAGAGTGCAGCACAGACTCTCAAGGAATGGAAAACCATTTGCAGAAAGGACCTGTATACTATTGAACGGTTCTGCAGTCTGGGCTCCAATACGGGATCAGAACTGTAGGGAAGAGGTGAGTAGGCCTAGTATTTTACATTAAACAACTTAAACATTAAAGTAGATTGATAATGATAGTAGCAGTAACGAAATGAATCAATATTTTAATCTCTAATATCTGTTAAATATGAAACATTTTGTATCACACCACGAGGGTTTATCACCATAAGTACAGGGTGTTTTTAAAAGAATGCCGGGATTTTAAATGGTGATCGCTCGGATACTATTCAAGGTAACCTAACGTTTTATACGTCAAATTGAAACTAAAATAACTAAGTTTTGTTTCCCGTGTAGCAAGGGAGGAAATTTTGACCTTGGTATGCGTAAAACAGGTGCGGGGTGATAGGACACTATTGTGACTTATATGCCTGACGCCAGTCGCCAGTACGACGTTTACAGGTGCAACAGGAGGCACAGATTGTAATCTGTAGTTCGCAGTTTATATCCATTGCTAAATTAAACTAAATTTAAATCTGCCCCTTAAGGGGACTTTGTAAAGTTCAATTCGATTTGTAAAACGTAAACAAACGTTGCGAAGACTGGCTGTATCTGTTTTTAGTTCAGACTCAATTTTATGTTCATTTTCCAAAAGTCGAAACTCGCCACTTCAAAAGCCTTGGGCGATGCCTATGTGCCTCTGAAAATACCTTAACTTAAAAAAAGTTTGAATACAAATGAGTCTCTCTCTGTTTTTGTGCTGTTTTATTTTACAAATATTCTACTGGCATTTGTAATGCATTTTATAATAATTATAGAATCGCCTTCGGCTCACTGGGGGCTCCGCCCCCAGGCCCCCTAGCTGTTAGTCGTCATTAGTGGTAGGGTGAAGGCGCGTGATTGTCGAAAAATGCCTAGAAGAGTTTTTTAGAAAGTTTAATTCCTGACCAAGAATATTCTTGCTAATCTTTGCTAGATCCGTTTTCAAGTTGTAGATGTAAAAAAACGTGTTAGGTAGTTTCGGAAGGAGGGTGTTAAGTCATGAAAATGGAGCTTTTAAAAATTGTAATGGCTAATTTTTGGTAACGTTGTACACTATTGTAAAGTTTAATTCTCTAGCAGGATTCTAAACTTTTTAGATCCTCATTCCAAAGTCAGCCACTTTCAAGGTTATTCTCCATAAGAATAACAAGGGGGGTGGGGGTAGTTTGATATTTTAGGGGGCCATAGAATTAGTAAAGAATCTGTTATTACCTCGTAAAAGTGGAAAAATATATCAAATTCTGACATTACACATAAATTTAGGAGGTAAATTAGTAAAGTTATGAATGAACATGAATGAGTAAAATTTTAAGTAAAGTAAGAAGAATACAAAGCATTAATAATATTAATAAAAATAGCGAATACTATTACAAATTTAAAATATATTTGACAATTTTTGAAAGAAAGGCGTTATTAGAGGTGAAGGGGTGAAATTTTCGGAAAACACATAAAATAATTTGTATAAAATTTAATTGCTGGCCATTAAAATGCATTGATTGAAAATCCACCATTTTTAATTTTTTTCCGTAGGTTAAAATTAGAGAGGGTCACTTTGGGGACTTTCCTCTCAATGTTGGGAGCATAAAAAGTGGAAATATATATACGTAAAATCGTCTTAAAAATTAAAAACACGTAAAAAAATCGGGGATTTTCACAATTTTTGGAATTAGAGCGTTTTTTGAAGGTGAAGGAGTGCGAATTTCGATATAACGCCTTCTTTGACAAAACTGTCTTGTAGAAAATTTAATTGCGAACCTACGATTTTCTCTCAAATCGATTCTAGCTCTTACGGTTTTCGAGCTACAGCCGTTTTAAAAAAAACATGTTTTTCCAAAAACCGAAATGTTTATGGAATTTTTTTGGAGGTAGAATTTTTAAAATGGGGTTTTTACGAATTTCACCAGTAATGTAAGATCCCATAGTACAATACTACGCAAATTCCAAGTCTCTAGCACGTTTCTAAACGGTTCAGATGAGCTTACCAAAATTGGTGTTTTTCAACGATATTTCCCATAAGAATAACATGGGGGGGAAATTGTTAATTTAGGGGGGTTGAAAGGGGAAAACGCCACTTTTCGGATTTCTTCCGGGGGTTTGGGCACTAGACCTACAAAACACCGAAAATTTCACGTCTCTAGCTCATCTAGAAGTGCCCAAACATCATTTGGATTGCATAAAATACTTAAACCACTTATATTATAATAAAAATATGTTGCGTAGCAACAGTTCACTTTTAAATTAATCTTCATAGAAAAGGTGTATCAAAATTAGCTGCGAGAAAATTCAAATTTTGTCAAAATGTTGAGTGCGTGTAGGTGTAATCAAAATGTAGGTCATGTCGTGACAGCGGTGATGTACCTCGATAAGAAGAAAGGAGTTAGCGTCTCAGATGTCGCTGACTTTCTACGTCACAACTACGGCCTCAAAACTCTCCTGGACTATAAGAAGTCTTTGAAACTAGCAGTAGAAAAGGGATTCTTGACTGTCAGACAAAATCGCTTCTACCCTGCATTGAACACAATCTTGGAGGCACGTAGGAGACGCAAACGGTCACTAAAGCGTCGAAGAGCTAGACGTCACGACGACAATGATGAGGTAGTCGCAGCCCGCGGTCGCAGACAACAAAGATATCGGTACAAAAGGAGAAGCCGTCGACAAACGGGACGGCTACGTGAAGCAGACAGTGAACTGATAGAGGCTCGACGCAGGAGACATAGCATTATACAGGCTCGAAGAAGACGTAGGTCTATAAGACGTCGCATTGTTGACTCCGACGATCACACTATGGCTCGTCGTCGCCGGAAGAGATCTACAAGACACGCTAGGAGGCGAGATGACTCCGACGATCTCACCATGGCTCGTCGTCGCCGTAAGAGATCTTCAAGACACGCTAGGAGGCGAGATGACTCCGACGATCTCACCATGGCTCGTCGTCGCCGTAAGAGATCTACAAGACACACTAGGAGGAGAGATGACCTAGATGATCTCACCATGGCTCGTCGAAGACGCAGGTCTCGTAGAAGCACGCGCAGACGTCAAGGTCGCAAACACGAAGAATTATCTGCTCCTCAAGCTTAAGCTGGGGAGTCTCCCAACAATCCTCCAGAGCCGGTGATCAGGCGTCACAATAATTATATTTTGTCTAATTTCCTTCCTGTCATGTCCCATCGAATAAATTATCATCCTCTATGCTTCTAATAGTTGTTTATTTAGACATAGTGTTATAGTTTAAAGAATTAAGAAAAGACATGGTGTAGAAAGATTTAGTTGTGGCTCAATAGCAGTGATCATAATACCTTGCCTTCGTCTATGAGGATTATTGTGTTACATGGTCCTGAATGTGTTAACCAATCTCCTGCAGAATGTATTACCATATAATGCATTTGGGGAAGAGGATAATTAAGGAGAATATTTAAACTAAAAACAGTTGCAATCTTAAAAATAATAAAAGAAATCCCAGATGCGTAGTATATAGAAAGTAAACTACAACTACGTACAGTCTTAATCCTCCCTATTTACCTTACTGAGATACCAATTACTAAATTAAAAATACTGAAATATCAATCAAGGAAGGAAGATATGATCCTCTCTCAGGTTATAACATGATTAGAGACATCAGAAACTAAACATCAAAAGCCTCGCTCCAGGCAATATGTTTGTAATTGTTATTTTCAAATTCACGTGACTTACATCATTGTAAAGAAGAGCCTTAAATCACTCATTTAAGGGGGTCCTTAAGGGGAAGTGTTTGGAAAAGACATTCACCTGACCGGCTAAAAACAAGCGATGACATAGACGAAGAAATCCGACAATTCTGCATCATAAGCCCGAAAAAAATCGATTGCCCGACGAATTCTTCAGTTTAACAAACCTAAATTGGTCACCTTATGGTGTTATCTATATAAAAGATAAGAGATTTGTGCCGAAAAAGATTCAGTTAAGACATCAGATAAACCCCTGATCTTCCTAAGCGAAAGGTCTTTGCCAGTTTTACGCTCATATAAGATTGACGAAAATCAGAATTTTATTAATTCATTCCGAATTGTATGAAAGAATGAGAAAAACAACTTTATTCTTTTTCCTCCAATTTGACGTATAATTCGTTTAATTATCTTGAATTGTCCCCGAGCAACGACCGTTTTAAATCCCGGCATTCTTTTAAAAACACCCTGTATTATGTGTGTGTGAAAAGTTAGTAACTAGTGATTTTACTCTTCAAAAATTTCAAACTACCTAAAAACATAACAAAATAACTGTTTTGGCCGTTTCAATTCTTCGTAACTTTTTGCAAACAAGCTTAGTTTGTTGTGCAAGTTTGCCGATTTTTTACATGAAAAACATTATGTCTTTCAAAACCAATTTTCACGTGATCAAAATTCAAATTGTAAGTTATTAAATGCAGCTCACCCACCCAGTTAAAAGTATTCTTATTATTTGATTGGGTTGGTTTGGAAGTCTATTTTACTTTAAGTTTTTTACCACGTTTAATCAAATTTTAAGGAAGCAAAATGGCTTTGAATCTAAGCCTTACAACGAAGACTACGATATGGCATAGTCCATGCAAGTTATTTTGGTAAAACCATGACAAAAAACCTATAAGACTGTAATCAGAGTGGCCCTAATTTAAAACTTAAAACATTGAAAAAAAACTATAAAAATAAAAATAAATGAACGGAAAGGGGGAAGATGGAATGGATAAACCTTTTTTAGTTGTTTTTTTTTTCTTTTTTTTCGTTTGTTAGGGAGGTGTAAAATGCATTAGGCACACCCTCAGTCCTTGAGGGTAGTGTGGGACTCACCAGTTCTGGTATACCCACTAAAAGCACCTCCCCACTCCACTCACTTATGTGGGAGGGCGATCACAGCGAGATGACACGTCTCTGCTGCCGGAAGGTGGAGTTATCGATGCAGTATTTATTTAGCTGTAACTTGATTACGTAGAACCTTTTATCGTCACAAGCATTCGTGATTAGTAACCTGCAATGCAATAAATGTTTTCCTGTACACAAGGGTTAGTTTAAAGCTGTTTTTTAAATATTGAGTGACACAAGTCTTTTACATTGACAAAATTACACTGTTAAATCGTAAGTATTACTGACGTATTTTGACTTCGGGGAACTCATAAGTAATTACACAAACTGATCATCATCTCAACTAATCATTACTGATTAGAGGTATACATTAGCACTGAAATAGATACTGTGTCCCTGATATAACATTACACACCTATAGACACAGAGTTAATTATAGGATACACTTTGATCCAATCAGGCCGATTAAGACTTTTCTAAGGAAAGTATCTTCTAAATTTATTTCCTCTCAAGTTCATCAAGAACATTCTTTATATACTCTAGTAAATGTGAAACACACTGTTCGTTAAAGTAAATAAATTTTGGTGTTTGTAAAAATATTGACAAATGATTCTAACACTCGAAAGACGACTAAACAGTCGTGGCGTGTGCGCACCCTCAGTCAATTACCAAACAGTCTTCGACTGGCCAAATTACCACTTTTCGATTGTCCATCCAACTCCAGACAGACAGTCGGCTAAGAAAAGGTCCCTCGATTGTGGTAGGCTTACTTAATCCATATTAAATTAACCTTTTCAAATCGACTGTGACCGTAAACAGACTCTTTGAACGGGTAGTGTTTACGTATAAAATTACTATAAGGGTAAGAATCAATATTTGCTGTTGATTTAAAATCGATGGAGCAGTCTTAAACATATTAAATTCTGCTTTTTTCTCATCCCGAAATGTAGACGTTCAGTTATATTTCCAAGTAAATAGGGTAGAATAGTCATTATAGCATTATGAAGGACCTTTTTTAAACGTCCCTTTTTAGATATATTTTATAAAAATATTTTCCCCGAGGGCGGACTTATGTAATGAAATATTCATGAAGGCCAATAAATTGGCTTTTAACGATGGACAAAGCAACAGAACAGGTCCTCAGCGAAATATCTAAGGGAAAAGTACCTACCCGGGAAAGTGCTGATGGAAAAGTGATCTGAACCTTCCCCAGACATTGGTACTGGGTACTTATCCACCCTCAAAACACCCAGCACCTTAATAAGTCACATAATTAGGAAACTCTAGTTACTCTTGACCAACTCATTGTCTTAACCAATCTAGTTACTCCCTACTATGGGCCTCACTTCCTCGGTAGGCGCCACCGGTGGGATATCCACCTGAGCGTGTTGAGTTCGGTGCAACTGGTTGACATTTTAAGCCTTGGTATCTCGCACTTGATGCACGTTGAGCCCAGTACCGCTGGTTGGCGTGTTGAGTCCCGTTACACAGCATTAGATGCATGTTGTGCTAAAGCAGCCGTTTATTATCCGATTTTTAAGACCCTGGTGGCAGCTCCTGGGACTACCGAGAGGGGGATGTAGAGATCCCCTTCACGAGATTAGAATGCCATTTAAAGAGAGCCGTCTGAAACAGACAGCAGTCTATGGCCGACAGTGAGACTGGCTACATCGTTAGAAAAGTTGCTGCGCTTAGGACGTTCCAAGTGAGACACCAGCATCTAATAATACGGGGCCAGCTGAGGTTCGCAAAGGCCAAATTCAGCAGGGAGAACGTGGACACAGGACATTGAGACAGGGCAGATGAGGCTGGAGCTCATCTAGTCAGACGTCAAATTTCTATTTGGGAACTGTTGGTCGAAAGAGTTCTCTAAATAGCGCGGTAAATATTGAGAATATATCTGAGATAAATACATTTATAAACCTTATGCACGTGTCAGTCAATGAGAGAATCCTGACAAAAAAAACTGAAATGCAGGATATGAGGTAAATATCAAGGAAGTACCTTACAATGTATCTTTATACAGTTTAGCTTCAGTCTAAATAGACAACATTGCTTTTTAGGAATATGAGGTTGATCAGAACATAAAATCTGAACACTGTAGAAAATTCGTAATTAGAAAAATAAGATTGCAGTAAATTTTTTTCCTGCAGATATTCTGGCCATTAGATCCCTCTGTAGGGTAAAAGAACACCCTTTTATTTTTGGTGGTCCTCAGTCTAAAATGCGATTTTCTGAGAAACATAGAAATGGAGGGTGTGGTTGATGACATTAATGTTTAAATTAGTACAATCATTGTTAACATATAGTATATCAATAGATTCTTATTAACTCGTTGGTTTTTCTCACAATCTACGGAGGAAGGGATAATTATTTCCTTTTAAAAACAAAACCGTTTCTTATGGCCCAGTGAATGTTATTTATTGCATAGATATTTCGGCATTTACGGTATAGAGGAAGAAGTAATTTGGGGTTTTATGATAAACTTATCTATTGTAGGGTTACTCCAACGCTGAACTAATGACAGAACGACTTCATGCTCTGACAAAGTCTCCATCTTTGATCAACGGTTCCGTATTTCTGGAGGTGGCGTCTCAACTCAGGCAGATTCTATCTTACGCCATCAACGATAGGAAGGTAAGATCGAGTCATATGTTCTTTATGAATGCTCTTTATTGAGGAAAAGCTTTAAAACCAAAAGTTTCATCCTGCAACTATAAGGATATCAATAGTTATTTACATATCTTTTATTTCATTTTGTAGTTAAAATATTTCATAAATATTTCAATAAAAGATATTACATCATTACATATCTTTTATTTCATTTTGTAGTTAAAATATTTCATAAATATTTCAATAAAAGATATTACATCATTCTATTGCACTGCACTATAATACGTGAAAGCTTATAGATATTGACTCTATAACGATTATAATTTGGCAACAACATTTGAGTGTTTCAAACATTTATAGTACAGTAAAAGTAGTCCGTAATCCTATCAAGTTTTTAAAATACATATTAAGATGTTTTAATAGACTTTCATAATACAAACATACATCCTATTATGAGACACTTGTATATGTGTTGGTCCATCTGTAAATGTAGGTGCTGACCAGAAAGCGTGATCAGACTTGTATCATAAAACGTCGTAAAATTTTGACACAAATTTTTTGCCACAGAGAATGTAACAGAAATTGTCTTGGACTTGTTCCAGATCGCGCGCAGTATGGTGCACATTGTAAGCAGTATTCTAGAAATGGAGAGTTCTGTAATGGACCGTGCAGATGTCAATGGTTCAGTGGCATACTCCCTCGTGGAGACACTCAATTCCTATACTGCGCATGCACACTTGCCTCCATCAGGGCCCGGCCTAGCCCTCGTCTCCCCTAACATAGCCCTACACATTAGACTAGTTGGTAAGTATATATAAAAGTTCTTGTACTGGAAAGAAATTACCAATTCCAACAAAATATATAACCAGAATATATAAGCATTAAAAATTGAAAATTATTAAAATCTAAATTTTCTTGTTGTTTTCTAGAGAAAAACTTCGCATCATCCAAGCCAGGAGTAATTTTTGCTCCGATGCAGGTCTCTGAGGATGTCACGGCTAGTCAGCTAACTAGCTCACGTAAACAGGTGAGTTTGATATTTACCTTATAGTTCAAATAGGAATATATAAAAAAAACACGGTCATAACTTAAGATTAATTTTATTAACTTATGTCAGGTAAATTATATATTAATTTCGACTTACATATAAATTTTTATTTGGAAATAACATAATTAATTTCAAAATTAAAAATTTCCCTGAGAAATATTTAGGTAAATCTGTGGCTCAGTCAGTAGCTTAATGGACTATGAAACCATGGCAGCATGTCCACGGTTTCGTGGCTCGAATCCTCCACTTAAAGTACCTGTTAAAATCATTCTTGAGCTAGATTGGCACACCCATTGCCCACACGCATTCCTGAATCCCACGTATACAGGAAAAAATAACGATAAAAAAGTCACCGACCTTAAAAAAAAAACTTTTCCAAACTATAAATTATTTTCCGTTGCATTACTACACAAAACGGTTTTGTTCCAGCAAGTAAACATCGAAGTCCCTCAGGAGGCCATTAGAGGAGTACCATCCACTGAAAAAGTCCGAGTGCAGTTTGTGTACTACAGAAACTCAAAACTGTTCAAAGACCGGAGAAGATGGCGCCTGGACAGGGACTCGCCCGTGCTGAGCGCCAGCCTAGCCAACACCACTGTTGCCAACCTTAGCAGTCCTGTGCGCTACTCGTTGCCAACGTCAGGGTTTCCTCGAGGTCACACGTGCGTCTACTGGGACACATATGGTAAGTTTTATGCTTAAGGAATAATAGGAGCCTCAATAAAGCCTCTTGGGCTGATGTGGTAACATCCTACGAATTGGTTTGCATTTGTCATATGATACCTGATTTTTAGTCAATTCGCCGAATGTGTCTCACACTTGTGCATAATGCTATAAACGTTTTTATACTTTCATAATCTATTACTCTCTTTATTAATTTAGCACCCCTGGTGCATCTTTGCTGTTAAGGTGTTTCTGCAAAGTTCTTAAGGAGTTTCACTGTTCAATTATATGAGTTAAGTTATAATAAAGTAACATTTATTTTGCTCCAAAACAGTTCTTTTAAATGTTCTAAAGTCAAATTGATAAATGTATGTCTTCTATTAGTTTCGCAATCTATGCTTGCTTCAAGGATACGTAATTTCTCATAATTATTGAACACTATGTTGATTATTTTGTGAGTAAACTACCCTATCCATAAAAATCATTGGAGGAAAAACAAACACAAGTCGTCCGATACACGAGAGAAAAAAAAAACTATTCATACAATACAACCGTTCCTCATAGAAAGCGTTTTCTACAATATGTTCCAAAAGCAAAAATAGTCAAATTATTAAGTGAAAGAATAAAATTGAAAAAATAAAACTCCATTCAAATTGTATTGAGTAATTTAAAATTTACGCAATACAAGAATTAATGCATTAATTTAAAAACAAATCTTGTAAAATTGTTCAGACGTTTGTTTATTTAAATCAAAGGGACAATATTTCCCTTTACCACAAGCACTTAGTCCTATTGTTTCAACTCATTGTTCTTAATACTTATTTGGTTCATTTTTTCTTATTGTTTTGTAAAAGCTCTGACAGAATTAGTCTTTAGAAACTAGTAACCCAATCATCAAAATATTCTACAATGTTTCTTTTAAAATATGAAAACATTTCTTTAACAACAGAACAATATATTATACCATTTATTTTGCAACCTTTTATTTGTTTTATACAATGTTTAAAGCATTTAAATATGTTTAATGAACCTATTTACCTATTTAATATTGTTTACAATTATATTGTATATGTATTTATATATTTATTTTTTTATTTGTTTGCGTTGGATTTTTGAGATTTCGATCTCAAAAGGCTTCGGTCAAAAACTAGTTTTAGTGCTGTTTTCACTCTTAGAATTTACAATATAACCAACAAAATATAACTGACTAAATATTTAACAACATATCAGATGTGAAATAATTTAACAAATTGTCCATACCAAGGCCCCACTAGAAAAACAGGCCATGCTGCAGCGCGGGCAGCGCAACACTACGTCACAGTGGTGGATAGTTGTACTAAAATCTTATCATTAAAATCTGACAAAACAGCCAGCTTATTTACCTAAATCATGGAATATGGCAGTGAATCGATCAATGAATCTATTCACTAAAGTGACGTCATGGATCATGTAGCATGGCCTGTTTTTCTAGTGGGGCCTTGTCCATACCCACGAACTTTTAAGGTTCCAATTAAAAAAATATATATATAACAAACACAATTTCTTAATACAGTATAATTCGTTTAAGAAAACATCAACTACTTTTGACTTTACTAATCCATTTTACAAGACCTCTCCACCCTGGTTTACAATAGGCATATAGTCTGTTTTAAACGTTCAACGAAAATCTAACTAATGCTTTGATACTAACAGTTGGTAGACAGAAACCTAATTGAGTAAAACGCCTAATATAGACAAAACCCCCTATAATTAATGTTAATGTTAAATGATACAAATATGACAAGACAAACCTACTTGAGTGGATAATTGCACTTATTATACGAAAACTGACATCTCAAACAAATTTACACCAAGCAACCGTATAGTTACTTACCCTTATATTCTTCTGAGAACTATTCAAGCTGAACTTCATTTAAACTGGAGTCATAAACAACACTTTTTAGTAAAATGTGGTTGAAAAACACCCTGAAATCCTCAAATTTGAATGGTATAAAGGGAATAACCCTCCGAAAAAATGCTATAAGGTAAAAAGCTAATTCTTGAAATCACTGAGTAAAAGAGCTTAATGTCCTTAATTGCTTTATAGTTTGAAGAAAAGATTGTTGGACAGCTGTTAAAAAGTACTATTAATAGATAAGTTAATGTAACACAAAGGTAGCTATGTAAAATAAGCTGAAATGTTGATTTTTTATTATGAGTTTTATGATTCAATGGCCAAATATACTTTTTTACTTGAATTCTTTAATAACTTTTTTTGGAAAACTGTCATGAAATATTTAGTATTCAAACTCGAACGGCATTGACAGTTGATACAATAAGTTGACTGGCAAATAATATTGGGTCTACAAACATCTCGTCAATGTCAAATTGTATTGGTTCATATTTGATCAAAGCAATACCCGGGCACAATGATTCAGTGGCTGCTGTAGTTTTAAAGTCTGGTTAAAATATACTACAGGGAAAGTTTTATTTATATAGGAAAATCATCACTACCTTCTCACCATGAATAGAAAGTTTACAGTAGTTGAAAATAACTATTTTGTTACTATAAACTTTGAAATCACAATCATACTTGTACAAATCTTCAACAATTAATACTTCTGATAATAATTTCAAAGGTAGAATCTATATTTGTTTGTCCTATTTTACCACGAAGGTTGAGTTTAATAAAGTTTTATGAAACCTAGCAAAGAGAAATACTATCTCCAATAGTAGTTTCATCAGAAGCAAGTATATAATAAGATAAGTTGGACGATTTAATATAGCTTCAAACTTGTATTTAGCCTATACTTACTCACATAATATCGATTGGTCATATCGACACTGCTCAATCGCTTAATCTCAATACCAGAGGTTAAAAAAATATTAACGTCTTGGAAAACTTTAACCCTGTAAGCCACGTAAAAATATTCACGTTACAATGTAAGTTTTTATGAGAACAGTGCGACCGTTTAGCCATATCTCATAATACACTTGAAATAAACAAGAATGATAATCTAGAATCGTGGTTGAAACGCTCAAACAACTACACCCTGCAGTATATGAGAACGAGTTGCCGCCCAACATGGCACCCGTGAGTGTAATATCTTTGCATTATGACTCCGGCCTGTTTGTGCTTTAATTTCAAATTAGACTACGCTTGCTTTGAACCCTGGAGTAAAAGATAATGATTATTAATTCAATGGAAAAAATACTTGAGAGTGTTCACGTTCAATAAGTGGTTTTTTATAGATACATTAATTTATAATAATGAAAAATTAATTACATAAAACTCAAGTAAATCTCGAACTCATAACACAACCATTTATATGTAAACATGTTTAGTCTGTGTCAGTTTATCATTTTGCGATATAAATAAACAATATAAAATTATACAAACTTTTTTCTCACTGTTCGAATCATAAATTGATCAAAGTATTTACTTCCGATTTTGTAATATATGTTTAGTGTAAGAAATGCGATTACGCCCTATTTTTGCTTGTTATTAAAGCAATATTGCATTTAATATTGTAAATAATTGTAAGGATTTAAAACTTTAAACTAAAAACATATTGCACAGTAACAGACCTTGTTCATAGTTTGCACAAAGGTTGCAAATTTAAATTTTCTTTTGACTTGTAATGGATATACTTGATGATTAAGATAAAACAATGCTTGAAAATTATTTTGTTTTGTTTATGTATATGCACTTGCGTTGAACTTAGACTTGTAAATAATCTTTAGCTTGGATTTCTTACTATTAGCTATTAATTTATTAACGTCGATGACGCACAATAGTAGTCGTTGTTCAATAATGGAGACATTCATATGAACAAGTAATTGGAACGATGATTTTATTCATTAGCCCAAAAAACAAATATTCGATACAACGAATATTTTCAACACCGAATATTCTCTCGATACAGTTTTTAAAGCCAAACCTATGTGGGTTGGAGATATTGTTTTTGTTGTGGTTTTTTTAACAGGTGCGTAGTTGGTTATTAATTGGAAATGCCAGGGGGATGGCTTAATATTTGATTTACGTTGCCAATTCAGATTTATTTCGGTAGCTCCTCTCTTGTTTCGTTTATGACTGTTACAATTTCCTACTCACCAGCGTGGTACTTGTATGCCCCATATTTAACTGTGTTAAAAACATTTTCCAGTGGTCTAAGAGAATACCGTATTATATGATAGTCATATTTCCATGGTGTATTTATTAGAATATATATTTATAAATACTAATATACTGTAGAGGGTAAACAGCTTAACTTCGGTATCCACCATTGGTAGGTATCTCAGAAACTATTAGATTTAGAAAAACACTTTGAATTAACTGTAACTTCAACTATTTTCATATGGCATTAAAAATATGAATTTGACTTTTCCGAAACGGCAATCATTTTTGAATATGACAGCTAACTTTGAAATTTCTCATAAACTCCTTGTACTTTATGATGGGTTTTGAATGGTAATGAAATATCAAAACGTTTATATCCCTTACATATTTTCTCTAAAACTACCCTTTTAGTAGCTTCTGTTCCCCCTGGGAAAAGGTGTTTTGTTTTGTACATTCTGTCTTACGTAGCTCCTAAACGAGTAAGTTTTGAGAGGAAATGCTAAGAGTAAATAGGTAAAAATCACATCTATATAATAAATAAATAAATAACATTCCTCGATAAGAAATTATAATGTTTGCCACCACCTTTGGCAACCATTTTTGAAAAGGCGGTATTCATACTTTGAATTCATTTTATGATCTTTTTAGAACCCTCCAAATAATTCTAAATTTTTAGTAGTGTCATATACTGTATAGCTATTCATGGTGATCACTTCAAGATTCAGATTGAAGGAAAGTGTGACTTTATAAAGAAAAAGTCCAAACTCTATTGTTTCAGGGATGCAGTGGACAACCACGGGAGTCAGAACTAATGTTACAAATGGCTGGGTGGTTTGTGAAGCTGATCATTTGACGGCGTTCTCGGTTCTTCTGGACCCCCACCCTGGCAGATACCTCCCTCATGACCACGAGGCGGTACTGACTGCTATCAGCTACTTCGGTGCTCTCTTGAGCATCACGGGACTTCTCCTTACAGTTCTCACCTACTCGCTCTTCAGGTATCATGGTCACTTATTTGAGATTCAAGTATCATTAGGTTTAAACAATCGTCCATACAGTCGTTGTTAAATAATAAAAGAAAACTATACATTGTGGTACTTAAACGATACTTTGTTAAGATTTATTTATTGTCTTTTTCGAAATAGTTCTGTTCAAACCAGCATCCCGCAGTATGTTATTACTGCGCCAACCACGTAACGGTCCTTTCCCGTCCTTATATCACTACACTGACCAGTATTACATTATGACCACTAGTTGAGGTTTACAAAACAAGAAGAATTATAATGGTTAAAGAAATGTTGAATCTATCTCCTAAAAGTTCTGATGTACAGAATACTTATGAAATTGTAGGATGAGCTACATAAAGTACTCTACTGACAGTTTTTATTTAAAAACACAACGGAATAAAATTTATTTTATAAAAATAATTACATTATTTACACAGTTCCTTAGCTTGATTATTCATCACCATGCTGGACTTAAGTCAGTAACAAGGCTACACGTGGCCTCTCACTCCCCTTTACACACACCCTTTACCCAGTTAAGGCGGGGACACACTTGTCATACACTCTTCCGATCCTACTACGATCCGATTAGCGGGATTCCAGAAGGATCGGTGCGGGATCGGAGGGGGTGAACACACATGTCATACACGATTCCGACCCATCTCATATTTCCTCCACCGGTCGATCAACACTTGCCAGTCTGATTTGTAAACTACGTGCAGAAGGTGGTAAAAATGTTCAAAAACTTTGGACTTCGGGATTCACCCATGATGGCGGTTTGTCTAGATGAAGAGGAAGAAAGTCAGACATCTCTGAATGGCAGTGGAAAATTAAGAATTTGGGTTCATTCTGTATGGAAAAAAAGTTAGGTGGCTTACTTAAGTGCCCATCCTATATTAAGCACATTGGGTTTTCTCTCTCGAGTTCGATTGGCTCTTCTACCCGTCCGATTTTCATGATCGAGGTCTCAAATTGAAGGTATGCACGCATAGATTTCACATCAAGCATCGGCATATATTTATCTTAAACCATTATTCTTAAATCTTAAGAATAAAGGTGATTTAAAAAAAACAACCCATCCTGCATCCGACAAACGAATAGACTGCAGTGTCGGTGCGTGATCGGAGCCAAAATCGGAGTAGGATCGGAGTATGACGTAACGCGTGTCGGAGAGGTGTAAACAACCACGTTTAGTTATGTACCATTAACTTCTCCGACAGTCGTACCACAGTATGATCGGAGTCGGATCGGAAGGGTGTATGACAAGTGTGTCCCCGCCTTTTATAGTGATGATTGAGTCTACCATTAATTGGCTCGTGACGTGAGGTGGGCTTTTAATTTCAACTGCTTGGTTATATTTAGTATGCGTGTGTTTAGTATTGTAATGTGTCATGTTATTACATATCTGACAACTTTAAATAATAGTAGTTTACGCAACAATTGCGTGAAGATAGTGTTAACGACACGAGTAGTACTTAACAACTTCTAAGAGTGCCGTTAACACTATCTACGCGAGTTGCGTACACTACTTTACCTACGACAGTGTTTTAATTACTAAAAATCACTACTCATAATTTCCAAGAGAAGTTATGTTATCGTTTATAACCTCTAATTGCCACTGACAGTGATGCAATAAAACATTGTACCAAACACTAATTGCACCACTCAACAATTATATTGGCCTGAACAGCTGATTAGTTGAAGTTTGAATTATTACAATTTTACTTCTCTCTTATTAGTCCTTGAACGGTCCGTTACCCGTGTTGTTAACTATGCTGTTGTGTGAAACTTTTCAATTCTAAGAACTGAACTGAAACGGCTACTTAAAAAATTGGTCGTAGGTAAATTATATTTTTCCATCATGTCACCTGATTATGCTACAACAGTAGTGAAAAAAAGTATAACGATCACACTAAGAAACTGTTCAGGCGGGGAAATAAGCTTGTGTTAGTAAATGCAAATATGAATGAAATGCTCGGTATCCTTGTCTAGCCATTAATACGAACATAGTAATGTATAGCACGGTTCAGGAATTCTTATGAACTTACGATTTAAAAATAATAGATACAATTAAACAAAATAGTGACCCTGGATATTGCGTTGTTATCATAACTTAATTAGGGTCATACTTACCTTATTATATTTTACTTAATTTTGATAGATTCTACATTACTTACTTTTATGTTGCCAAAATTATATGGGCAATTAAATTTATTTAGGTATATTTCCAACCGCATCGCAAATATCCATTGCTAGTTTATCTATTTCAAAAAAATTACAAAAAATTTTATTCCCTGTATAGGATGATCGCAATAAGACATTAGATTTTGTTTGCCGTCAGATTCAAAAAATAAATATAGAAATAAACAAGTACAAAAATAAATAGTAATTGGTGTGAAACCGACAAAACCCTTAAACTTTGGTGAAAATACTAATGACCGATCCCGTTCCCCTCGCAACGTAGTCAACAACTTAGTAAGACACCATTTTTGCCACCGGTATATTTTTTCATGACTTTCATATTATAGTCTTGAGTATCCTTCAAAACTACCCAAAACTTATCATTCTTCAACACAATTATATGTATTTTAACTGTGGTTTCCAGATGCCTGAACAGAGATCGGTCTGGCAAGATCCTGTTGAACCTTTGCATCTCCTTACTCTTCATGAACATCTCATTTCTGGTCATCTCCATCAAGGAACACATCGGTGTCTACCAGCAGGACCTGTGCATGGTTGTGGCGATGCTGGTCCACTACTTTGTTCTGTCCTCGCTGTGCTGGATGCTGGTTGAAGCTGTCAACATGTATCAACTTCTCATCACTGTGTTTGCCTCCTCAGAGACGAGATTTATACTGAAGAGGATGCTATTTGCTTGGGGTAAGAGTTTCCAATGTTTTAATATAGTAAATTAATAGCTATATAATAAATTAATTTCACCCTGAATTAAAAGAGCGTCATCAGTGGCAGTAGGCTAAATCCAGTATTAGAATAAGTATAAAGCCGCTATGAATTCTAATTGTATGAATACAGAGTTTATATAATTTTACCCAACACGTTTTAATGTTTACTAAATTCAACCCTAATTCTGGTTTGCCAATAAATCCGTGGATAGTAATTTGGTTGTAATTACAGTAACCTCTAATAACTCCGCACTAATTCGAGATCCAAACGGTTCCGATTCTCGCAATAATTTTCCAAATACCTCCTCTTATACTGTTAATATTTAAAAGGAAGCTAGTATGAAAAATATGCCATGGGGGCAGTAAAAGCCTTTATACAGGGTGCGGCAAAAAAATTAAACTATCCATTTTCTGCAGCTTATTTTTCATAGCGACAGGTCCGTCAGAGTTTGGTCGGGGTAAGCTCGTTGTATAGCCTACAGAATGCCATTATCTGTAGTCATTAAACAGTGGTCACCTGAGCAACGCGTGTTTGTTATTGAGTGGAATTAAAAAAAAGTAATGATTGAGTCATTGCAAGTCAGCGGCATTTCCATGCATTCTTTAAAATTAGGTCGACATGGAGAGATTCCGTTGTGATTAGGTTCCGTATGGATAATTAACAAAATTAAACAGAATAATAGAAATTAATCTGTGGGGAGAAGAAGATAGAACCTCAAAATTAGTGTAACCGAGCGGTCAGACAAACAGATGCTTGTTTTCGGGCGGGCCTACCAGGACTGTTTTCCACAGCGCACGAACTATATCTAATGTTATGTCTGGCGTCCGATCTGCTTTGGACGGCTTGTCAGCTTCTTTTTGAACGCAGAAGTCGTTGTTCTAAAGTTTATAACCCACCACATGATTATGCTACGTGAAGAAATCCACGTCCCCCTAATTAAAAGAAATAGGGCTCTAAAATTAAGGTTTATTTAAAACCCTCTTTTTAATTATGATTTAATAACAAACGCATGCTGCTCAAGTGACCACAGATCACAGTCTATAACCAGAGATAATGGCATCGTGTAGGCTTTCCAACGAGCTTAACCCCACCACTATCAGACGACCTGTCGCTGAACAGTGAGCTGCATAAAATAGATCGTTTTTTGCCGCATCCTGTACATCAATGTGTTTTATTATGTTGATATTTTACAGCCTACACATACAATGCTGATCAAGAAGCTTTTAGGCACATACATATCTTAATCACACTTGGAACTATTGTAAAATACAATTAAATTATATACTACAATTTATATCTTTGAATGTTAACACTTTTTAGTTTATAGTATTTGCAAAATACTACATAGGCTACACAACACCATGTTTGGAGTATCATCACTACGCATGACTCTGTTCCAGGTGTACCTATGTGTGTTGTCGGAGGGACGGTGTACTACACTGGGTTCCACTACTACAGATTCCGCGACCCAGAATGGTGCCTATTCTCGCCCTCTAGCACTGCTGTGTATTACCTTACATTTGTGGGACCAGCAACCTTCATCCTCTTCGTCAACACTGTTGTGTTCCTGATGGTCACCCGGGTCCTTTGTCAGAGACGCAACATATCCAAGAACGGACATAAAAACGAGGACGGAGTCACGGCAGCTCAGGTAAGAGTGGCAAGTTTTTATTTTATACAGATTGTTTGCCTTTTGAAAAAAAAAACTATAAAAAACAGTAAATAAGTTGTATTATTTTTCTCACCATTAAATAAGTGTTTCCAAATAAAATACTTTTAATGTCAATGATGCATAATTTGAAACTCTCACGTCATGTTTCCTATTAAAAAATGTGGTTTCATCTAAAATAAAATATCCACGTGCAGTTTGCGTGGTATCGGCCAACGTGCCTCACCTGCATTCTTTGCAAAAAGTCTAGGATTTTGATCATTTGAAATTTTTTTATGTTTCCGTGTGCTTACATTCTTCATGTATATATACTGTATGTGTTGGCTTGGTTATTTACTTAATGACAAACGTTTGACGGAAAATACGGCAGATTTGATAATTGGACACCCGAGGCCCAGAAGCGATTTGAAACGTAAACGTTATGGATTAATGACGGTAAGAAAATATAACCTATTGTTTTTAAATACCTTTTCTCGTTGGTCTTTGTGTTTTCCGGAAAACACAACATCGTAGCCCGTCACGCAAACGACTTAGTCACCAACTGGGATTAATTGCAATTACTACTATTTATTTTACAATGTATTTGTAGGTCCGCGGTGCGTTCACAGTGATGACCCTACTAGGAGTGACTTGGATCTTTGGAGTGTTTGCGGTCGGAGAGCTCAGATTGTTCTTCCAGTACGTGTTCAGCGTCGCCAACTCTCTGCAAGGCTTCATCATCTTCTTGGTGAGATGTGTCCAGTACCCCGAGGCACGGAGGGCCTGGGGAAGGTTCCTGAGAACTGGTGAGCTCAAGAGCTACAGAGGAGGCAAGGGTCGCAGCACCTCCACGAGACACACCTCCTCAGGCAGCCAGTCCAGAAACACCGGGACGGTTAAGGTAGTATTTTAATTTGTTTGATCTATGATACTGACATATTTTAATCTTTTATGAAAATCGTATCAATTAGCATAAAGTTTGGGTAGTTAAAACGGCCTTAATAAGGCCAATTTCAAATGAAAAATCGAACCAACCTTCGCTAATTTTCTTAAAATAAAACTGCGACACTAAAGTGTTTTTTTTTTTTTTTTTTTTTTTTTGTAAGATGAATAGACCAAAAGTAATTAGGTACTGGTAAGTTCCTAATAATAATTGGACTGTACTAGTTCTTATCTATAATTCAAGGGTGACATCGCATGGGGAGGAGTGAGATCGAGGAATCAGCAAGAGCGGATGAGAGAGTTGCGGACAGAGATCGTGCGGCCCCGCAACAAGAACTCCGTCTCCGCCTCCTTCACCCTGCCACGACCCTCCGCCGCACCACAACCCATGCACGGGTCCATGTCTCGCAGCAGAAGTCTCCACCTGGAGGACAACAGCTCCAAGGAGGGCGACGACACCTCGTGGAGGTTGTGCCCCCTTTGAATCTATAGTTTCTACTTATCCAATGTATTTGTACAAAGTGCTGATAGTGAGTCGCATCAGACGATCAGGTTTGTGATGAGATTAGCGTATTGGGTTGATTAAGCTTTACTTATTATCTAATTATTGTGCATTGATTATTGCGGACATAAAGGATTTCTGCAACACTTTTCTACATATTTACACTTATATTGTCATTCACGAGACTATAAACATCTGTAAAATATTTTACAATAGTAATCTATTGTGATTAGTCAACATCAGACCCAATTGAAGACTGGGATGCATAAGCCAATATCAGGTAATAGTTTAATAAGAACACTTATAAGTCATTACTTAAAATAACAACGTCTTGTAAACGTTTATAGCATGAGAGTAAATAATATATAAAATAGTTTTAAAATACAGATTTTCGTATAACCCTGTAGGACAAACAATACGTACATAATTAGTCTAAAAGTAAGTTTTTCTTTAATTTTTGCCATGTTACAATTATGTTGATTTTGTATTTAGGATTACCGCCCAACTTAGTTTTAGAGGCTCTACTGGTACAAAGAAAAAACAATTACAGAAATATCCCAATCAAGAACTTTTTTGGTATTCAATGTATGCAATTGTTTTCGAATCTTGTGTACAAAGACGTGGATATGGTTTAGGGAATCGATCTTGGACACTAATTTGAAATCCCGCAAACCGCATAGAAACTGCTTGATATATTAGTTTGAAACCTATAATGCTCTGCCTGCTCCTAGTAGACGCAAGATCCTCCAATCTAAGATCATTGCCACGACTGCCTATTTATTAGACACCTTCCTTTATACTAAACACGTTTTAAGTTTAATTCCTGTCTTGAAACCCCCAGCGTTGGATAGCATAACTCTTTGATTTGGCAAACGTCATTCGTTTTATGTCTTGAAAAATAAAAATATGAAAATAAAAATATCAATGGCCACATTGCACACTCTACACCACAACACATGATTACATGATGACACAAGATCACATGATGGATTGAGGACTGGTTTGATTCTAAATCGCCTACTTGGAATTTATGACAGGGTTTTACTGCTTTTGTCGATTTCCTGATTTAAGGACGGGACCAGATCCAGAAATATTTTGTAGCTTCGCTTTCGTCAAACAGTAATGTAAAATAGCATTTACACACCAAGATCAACATAAAAAGTATCGTTAAGATGTATAAATAAACTGTAAGTTTGTAGTCTTCAAGTGACAACCGTGTCAAAATCGTTGAAAACTTTCAGTAATTTTTACCAACATTTCGAACGCATGTAGAGTGACATCTTCAGGACTACTTTAATTTCCACCCGTTGCGCATTAAGGGAGTATATGTTATATGATGTGACGAAGTCAAAGCCCTCTTATGATGGAAGTTCTAAATCAAGGTCAAAATTTAAACACGGGTTTCACAGACGAAAGAAAACATTAAATCTACTATTTGTGGTCATGGAAGCCGATTCATGAAGATTATAAAAACTTGATCTGATATATCACATATTTCAGGAGTTTTACATTCCGTGCATAAGAATATTATTTTACCTACCTCTTTGTAACAAAATGTTGGAAAGAACATTTTGCATCCGTTTTCATGAAGAAACGATGAAAACCTATGACAAACACTTTGAAACAATATGTTTGCCTCATTGTTACGTGTGCCTACATCAGGTACCTGGACTTGGACCACTCATCCAATCGTAGGAATTCCAAGATCTTTGATAAGGGGTTTTAATTGGTTTCTTTTTATATACAGGTGTTTCTGTCCATATTATGTCTAAAACTATGGTCACTTCTCGAAGCAAGATTTAGAGCAGCCATTTGCCCGTGTCACAAAGAAGCAAGTCAGTTGGTCGAAATATATTCGAGTTAGTTCACGTGTTGTAATTTCGTCAATGCTTACATATATAATTGAGGTTATGTTGTGACGATCAGGTAGTTATTGACCGTATTTTTTTAATTTGATTATGGATACCAGCCTAAAGCCCAGTTTTGGCTATTGCCGTTAATATTGGCAATCGTGTCGCAACTCCGCTAGACAGCATTGTCTTGCAATTTATTTGGGGTTTTGTTGAGTGTCACAAAGTATTGATTACATCGATTGCTACATCGCGTTCGGTTGTTTGGATCGTGGCATAGAATGCATGGCCTGATTGTTCTGCTGACATGATGTGTCATCATTCTGTGTGACGCGTAGCACCGCCGAACGTGGGGGTAGTCAGTCAGAGTCGAGCTCGAGGAGTCGAGTTTGAAAGTCCGTGAGCCGCTGTTCCCGCTATCTTTCCCTGCCCCGCGGGTGTCCGTGGGGTTGGGCATGTCCGTTTCCCAAGTATGTTATTTTTAAATAGTTTCTTCTAAATGGTCTGAATTGCCAATAGCCAGTAACTTATTAAAAACATTGCGTGGTTGTTACTATGTCTCTAATGATTTGAGCATGTTTTTGTTAAATTTTAAGGTAATTTGTTATTTAAAATCAATTTAGTAGGACAAAAGCTGCCTTAATTTCGTAGAAATCCAAGTTGGGTCTGCCAGATTAGGTTAAGATAGTAATTCAATGTTTTTTTTTTTTTTTTTTTTATGGAACTATACTTAACCTGGCTTAACCAATCAGAATTATTTGACTTGTGACCAAACCAACCATGCCTCTACTCATTTTAGACCAAGACCAAGTTCCTCGTCAAACTCCTCGTTAATTCCATGCTCATTCAATCTAAGAAATGTATCTTTATGTTTATTTTTATTTTAGGTTCATCGCACCCTCAGCACCACCTGCTCCTACAGACCAGGGCTATGGCACTGCTGAGCACTCCCCCGAGAGTCCTCGGCAGCAGCCCCGGCGCCAGACCGCGGCCCCGCACCTTAGTGTGTCGACTCCTGAGCGACTCCACTCCAGCCCTTGCCACCCGTCTGCAGGACCCTCCGCCCACAGCGAGAGCGACATGGTAGTCCCTCCGGAGTTGTACCCTCCACGGCGCGAGAGTGACGCCACCACCACAGAACCGACCTCCACAGTAACCTCCCCATCGCCAACCCCTTCACCATCAACCACTCCTACCGGGAGTCCTTCTCCTGTCCACGTGTGGACTCACATCCCTCCCCATAAACCTCCCAAACGACTCCACTGTGAGGAGCTCCTCTAGAACGGGGCCAAACTGTTCTCACCTAGTCAACCTCATCCCACCTGTAGGTTGCCCAGAGGTCACATGTGCGAGCAGCTGATATAGTCGGGATGGTTTTGGTAACTTGAATCGCATATCCTAGTTTAAGGCAGGACAACCTAATTTAATTAAACAATTAATTACGTTCTAGTTAATGAAATCGTTAGTTGCGGCCACGAGATTTTGAATATTGAAGCTTAAGCTAGTTATACTACGAGGACCAATGGTTACGTTTTTATCATGATTAAAATTAAATAACAGCCTTTTGACTATTGATTATCCTAGCTGCATGGCAACATATTGGGTTAAATTATTCAGAATAACATACAGAGTATTATCTACAGCATTGATATGTTTATGTTTAGATATATAAACCAAAATATTTGGTATCATGTAACGACATTCAAACCCTACAATCAAATAACCACTGATTGGTTTTAGCTGACCTGTAAAATATTTGATCCTCCAACAAATCGCCGAAACAACTTCTAAACTGTTGAACTTGTGAAATAAAACAACGAAAATATCTAGAACCGTTGAAATGGAAAGTTAACATTTTTACTGTGTATACACCAATTAAAAGCTCTTCTCTGTTTGAAATTTTTATAAAAAAAAACAACATTTTTCAGGGAAATAATTTCACAGGTTTAATTCATTAGCAACGTTTTTTATTCATAGAATTTTGTTGCATAAACGCTACTTATAGATTCAATAGTTTTCCGCCACCCATATTTACGAAACTATGACTTGCTTAATACCTATTTGTGTACAAAGTTCCTATTAGCCCATACACTGGTATTACAGTTCTGCTAAGTTGACTACATCCGTTGATTTATTTAGGAATATGCAGAGATAGTTATTTTGTACTTATATATCGAATGTAGTTTTTTTGTTAAATGTTGTAATAATAAAGTCTATGTAAAGCTGCTTTGCTGCGTTATATTTAACATTTATTTAGCGTTTTTGTTTTTCCTAGACCTAGACTTTAACCGGTCTCGCATTACTAAGGCTGGTGTTTAACCGCTCATAATATGTGTGTAAGTTACCGTACATTAGCATAAGTGTCAAGACTGAATATTCAAAACTAATGTTTCAATTTGAAAAGCTCACGATCAAACTCTTACCAAAGATATATTTTATGTAAAGTGTTAGAATATAGGTTTTGTATAAATATTTATGGCTATATAGTATCATATTATGTGTTAAGAGTACCTTTTTGAAAGGGTTGTAGTGTCTATAAGATAAAAAAAGTGTTATATAGGTAGTTAACTGATGTTTAAATTCGGTATAATACCAAATTGTGATCCTAGTGAGCAACGATTTAGTAAGTAGAGGTCGTCCTTTATAAAGGCTTCAGTTATTGGCCGATTTTACAAACCATACTCTTTTACGACTTAAAATTCCTACTTCTTTTAGAAGTCACTATTATGAATTCCGGGCCATAGAACCTCGTCTGCATATTGTCATCTTGAGGCTTATATTAGATGACATACCTTATGTAAAATTTGAACCAGATAATCCAAAAGCCATTATATGACTAAACATCATAGTTAAAAATCGAATTTTGTGATGCAAAATAGAATTATACCATTCAAGTAATACAACCTCAAGTTTATTTCTAAAGTATTTAAACAATTATTAATATTTTTACGTGATTAGATCGCATCTTAAAAAAGTGAGCAGGTCCATCATACACAAAGACGTCAACATAGTATTAGGCTACTTTATAATTCAATTAAAATATATAAAGTTTATCCCATATTTTCATTTAAATATACTGTTTTAAATACTACCCAACAGTCTAATATCTTGAAACTACTCTTCACGTCAAAATGTGCGTAGTTAAAACTAAATATCCAAGTAGAAACACTTATGTTAAAGTTTTTATAAAACGTAACGTAAAAATGCTACTTTCTAATTTTATCCATTTACATACTTAACAGTCATTAACATAAGGTCGATGATGATTGGAAAATACTGACCAATACATACAAAGAGGACTTTTACTTACTTTAACTTAAAATATCGCACGATGAAAATCGCAGTTTTGAAGTTCGTCGCTACATTTCGTCGTGTGTTCTGTTGTGCCGTCTAACCTGTAAGTGTTAAAGTAGGCCTTCCTAAGCATAGAACAATCGTTGCTTTAACAATGTTAATCTATTGTGTATGTATTTTATAACTGTTGTATACTAAGAGACTATTTATTTTATAGAATAGAGTTGATTTGTTAAATATTTATTTACCTTTCTATATAATTTTACAAATACATATATCCGGACTGTTCAATTGATTGTGTTTGTTGTAGTAACTTTTAACCTAATGAATCTCAAAGGAGTATAATTAAAATGAAAACCATTTAAGATTGAATGTTTTGCTTTGGATTTTGGGCTGTAAATTATTTATGACTAATTGTGTGATAATCATTACAATGTATAACCAATTAAAAACGCACAGTTTGTAATTTTTAATTGGCTATACTTAATGGCTCGTTATTCTGATTATTTTTCACAAATAACACTGTATTAAGAAAATATATTTTAAAGCCCAATATAAAACAAAACAAAACCTACAATTGTTGAAGGTTCTTTAAATTTATTTTATAATTTAGAGTATTGGAAAAAACACAAAATCAGGTCCTCTAATTAAGCTAAAGTATGACTTAAGCTACCTGTTATTGGCTAAGAAATCTGAATTATTTGATGTAGTCTGTCATATCTCCTTGTTAAAGTAGGTAATCTGAAATAAACTGTGTTATTTTATTATATATGTGTTTTATTGCCCAATCAAATTTGTTAATAACATTAATATGTTTTTAGATATTGGAATAATTATAAGTATATTAAAATAAATAGCTAGTAATAGCAGTTAATATTGTGAACGACTGCTTGTTTCATTTAGTGAACAGCTTTTTCTGTTTAAGGATTTTGGCAAAGTCGTCATGCTTAGAGCGATGTTTAATAACAATATCTTAATCAAAATAACTTCATACCTGATCTACTTTAGTTTTAGTCTGAATCCAATAAATTACACACACATTCGACATCCTTTATTTACTGTAATTCTCACATCAAATGTATTTTTGATCAATTAATATAAATATATAATATTACTTAGAACCACTCAAGTATAAAATCGGAATCTTAACAATTTAAAACCAACTGGTCACTATTTATCCAAGCGATTTACTAAATATAATTAAATACACCTTTCAAACATGCAAACCAAATTTATTCAACAGTTGCCGACCAAGTTTAGGAAAGCAACGTTTTCTTATTTGCAAATATTTAAGAATGAATGATTCGTCATAGGACACACACGTCAAGACAAGTGATCTAATCACATAGACTACGTCGACTTGTGTCTCTTGCATAATTAATGCAAAAGCAACGTCAATATTATTCTAAATCTAATAGAATGAGCCATATTGAATTTTCATTCTAGCAGAATCCTGACACCTCTAATGCATGGACATCTGATCAGGAGATCTTGAATTTAGCGAAGTAAGCTCAACGTCGATTAGTATACACTATACAGGGTGGATGAAAAATAACTTGCACCCCCTTTGATTTTTAACTATTTGAGATATTTGAAATCGGTTTGCAGCAACCTATTTAGACATGAGGGGCTACATTAACAATGGCTAATTTTAAAAATAATTCCTTTAGGGGTAGTGGTGGTTGGGCGTAGCTCACAATTTTCAAATAGGAAGTACGGTCGATTTTGGAATCATTTTACAGGTCTTGACAAAAATAAACAATTACCATTCGCATTCGCATTCGCATTTCGCATTTTGTTTTGTCATAAGAGCAAGCTCCCTGACTGCAAGCCCGGTACCTATAATTAAACATACCCGGGCCCCATGATGTAGGCCGAAGCTAATGCACCAACCTTTGGCACATCATGGGAGGATGACTTAAGGTCATCAGGCTCACCGGCTGCCGAAGCAACCCATCGGAGAGAGGGTTTCCCCTCAATCCTAACCAGGGATACTGGCTACTTGTTTAAGCGTCATTCCACCTGGGCTCCCCCAGGTACGAAACCCAGAAGGACCATAATGGAATGCCCTGACGCATTTAGTGCAAGCAACACTCGGGACCTATCTAATCCCTGACAGGCAGAGCCCGCCATCAAAGCCAGGAAGAAGGGGACCACCAGCAAGCTGATGGGGGAACCCCAACCACCTGTTTACACCACTACCCGATCGAGGCCTTACCCAGTTGCTGGGAAACCAGAGGTGACCAAGGCGATAGATCCCTGAACACCTCTAGCGGGCTTGAACCCAGCACCCGATCTACTTCATTTGCCCGTCCAGCCCAACATCACTGCCAGGCCATCAGGGTTTCCCAAAAGGAGGCAGGAATAGAAGTGGGTCCCACCCGGATGAGCCTATCCACCAAAGGTGGCGACACCCTTTGCTCAATTGAAGTTCCAGGGAGAACCCCCCACACTCTAGATAACCATACCTTCCGGTCTCAGAGACAGGGATTGGCTGATGGAGTGCGCCCAGCCGTTACCCTCACACTGCGGAAAGTTACGCTCCCCTAGAGTGTCCCCGTGAGCTTACGGGTACTTGCCCGATTTCACCCCCAGGAAAGGCTACTTCCAAAGTCGAGGATATGCCACACAGAATGCTGGTCGCACAGAACAAGCAGGCCGAAGCCCAAAGAACCATAGTCACAGGTAGATGGGAGATTGATGGCGCACTTCCACCTCTCCGAGAGCTAAACACCCAACCAACCTGGATGGAAGAATGTCACTGGTGGTTCCCCCTAAGGGGCTGGCGCTTACCAGACGTCCATGACTATGGCCTACTTGAAAAGCCGATACCAACACCGAGCAGTTACCTCCCCTTTGGGGGCTAGGTTTTTCACCTCCCAGGACGAGGCTATTTCCAGAGCCGAGGATATGCCTCGCAAAATGTTAGTCGTACACATCCAAATACAAACTCAAATACAATACAAATACAATTGTTATGGTAACAATTACCAGTAAGAAAATAGAAATCGGACTACTAATAACAAAATGGCAGTTAAAAATTTATTTTAATAACCATTGTCTTAATCAGTTTTAGCTGCCATTCTGTTTATAAGTTGTCCGATTTCTATTTTCTTCATGTAAATTGTTTAGTTTTGTCAAGACCTGTAAAATGATACCAAACTTGACTATACCTGCCTTTAAACATTTTAAACTACCCCTCTACCTCCGCTACCCCTAAAGGCAAAATTTTCAAAACTAGCCATCATTATTGTAGCCCCTCATAACTAAGAAGGTTGCTGCAAACCGATTTCAAATATCTCAAATAGTTGAAAAGTTAAGAGGTGCTGCAAGTTACTTTTCAGCCACTCTGAAGCATAAAATATCTATGTCCAATTTAAAAAGACCATTCAGTAGGTGGAACCCACAGTTTCATTTGTATACAACATACAATGGTGCCGTCTGATCGGAAGAACTTATAGGCTATATGCTAAACACGATCAGTTCCAGTCAATTCAACTAATCGCATATCTTAGGCTTATACTTCACGTTTATCTTCACGTTTAGGAATGGAAAACTCACTGAATAGTTTAAGTGACTTTATTTATGGAGTATTGTAACATGGTCTATAATAGTTTGGTTTATCACTAGTGTTTGCAGACGGCAAGTTTTATGTCAGGTTAATGTTTTCAATTAAATTATTCTGATACGTTA